TTTTTCAACTCCATAAGTTCATTTGTATTCCTCTCTATATTGTCTATTCTTTTCAACATTTCATCGAACCTTTTTTCCAAGTTCTTAGTTTCTTTACATTGGGTTAGAACAAGTTCCTTTAACTCCCAGAAGTTTCTTATCATCCACCTTTTAAAGCCTACTTCAGATAATGGAACACAGTCCTTTTCCATCAGGGCTTGTTCCGTTACTGATGAGTCCTCTTCCATCAGGGCTTGTTCGGTTGCTGATGAGTCCTTTTCTATCAGGGCTTGTTCCGTTGCTGATGGATTCTGATTTTGAGTATACTCGGCCTTCTTAGGCTGTTTTTTTCCCTTCATTGTAAATGAACCGCCTTTCTAATTAGTTTTCTGAGTCGACGTCCGACTTATTGATTCCCAGTGCTGGGATCCGAGCAACCCACTGTGGCAGCCTAAATAGCAGCGATAAGACTGATGGTGCTCTTCTGCCCGGGAATCTCTGGTCTGGCTTCCCTCTTGAGTCCGCAACAAGCGGCTCTGACTTCCTGGAGCTCCAAACTCCGGTCAGTAGGGGAAGCAGTCCTGTTGGCTCTGCATGAAGAGCTGCTGCGCCGAGACGCCGGTAAAACCGCTGCGGCGGCCACAAGAGTCGCGCTGGCGACCCATGGGGCTCCTCCACTGGGAATCGGCTAATCGGTGAGTGACGAAAATTCGTCTAATGATGTGGCGTCGTCTCGTTCTCTGAGCTTTCACTGGGAGCTACAATCCTGAGCTGTTAGTGGTCGGCCATCTTGGATCCGCCTTTTTACTTTCTTAAAGATATCTTTTGGGCCGGGCGCGGTAGGTCAGGTTTTATAAGCATAAAGTAATGAAACTGATTGGCTCTTGAAATGAGGTGATGCCAGGAGGTATGATCTGACTGAGTCCTGCCATGGGGTGCTGCCAGCACTCAATCTGATTGGATCCTGGATCCTGCCATGCGGTGTCCACTTCTTAATTCAGTCCCCCTCTTCAGTCTGAGCACTTAGATTCTGCCCTGTGGTTGCATGCTTGGTTCATCTGGGCATGCTCAGGTTACTCGACCTTCACCTAGGGGTCCATGGCAACTGAAAAATAACTCACAATTTTGTTACATAAAAATATAACCAGATTGAGCTGATGAATTTAAACTTTGTGTACTGTAGACAGAGGATGCGCTCTCATTGGCCCTGATGCAAAATAGGCGAGCCCCAAAATGGGGCTTAGCCCACAATGTTTCTTGGCTTTGTCCAGGAAAAAAATCAAGGGCAAGCTGGAGGGAGAAGAAAATTGCTTTATGGAAGAGGCAGTGTTATAGCTGCAGTGCTCTTACAGCTCCATGACTGCTCCTGCAGAGCAGAGATTAACATCTCAGGACAGTTTTGAGTCTCATTTATACCTACTTTTTTTTTGAGATGGAGTCTCACTCTTGTCACCCAGGCTGGAGTGCAGTGGCATGATCTCCACTCACTGCAACCTCCACCTCCCAAGTTCAAGTGATTCTCCTGCCTCAGCCCCCCTAGTAGCTGGGATTACAGGTGCATGCCACCACACCCTGCTAATTTTTGCATTTATTTAGTAGAGACAGGCTTTTGCCATGTTGGCCGGGCTGGTCTGAAACCCCTGACCCTCAAGTGATCCACCTACCTCAGCCTCCCAAAGTACTGGGATTACAGGTGTAAGCCACCACACCTAGCCTACCTACTTTTAATTACATGTAAATTAAGGGAAGTTAGTTCAGAAATTACTAGGGGAGGAGGAGTAACTTCTAGGTTGTCAGCTCATTGCTGTGGAAAGTGGTGGTAATACCCAGGGGTTGCCATGGCAACAGTAAATTGACATGGCACACTGCTGGGCATGTCTTATGAAAAGCTGCTTCTGCCCTGGCCCTCTTTTAGCTAGTCCTCAATTTGGTCCAGAGTCTAAGCCCCAGCTGCAGAGTCAAGTCCCTCCTCCCCGCTCAGCACTGCCAGGAAGGAGCTTCAGGATGGACCCACACATGCTACTCAAGCCCAAGAGTCAGTCTATAGCCCAGAGCTCTAAACTCACCTTGTGTCCAATGCAAGTGAGGCAAAAAAAAAAAAAAAAAAACATATATATATATATATATATATATATATATATATAGTGATAGCAGTACCGTTAGCATGTGCCAGGCCCTGCAACTGCTGATTTACATGCAAGCCGCATGACAACCCAATGAGGTAGGTGCTATTTGAATCCTCGTTTTACAGAGAAACCGAGGCTCCAATAGTTCAAGTAACTAGGCCAAGAGTATGTCTTACAGACAAGATGAGAACCAAGGCCGTTTGAGTCCAGCGCCCCTCACCTACACACCATAGCAAAGAAGGATATGACTTGGGCTTACTTGGGAATGAGGCCACAAGGCTGGGAGGTTTTTTGGTTTGTTTTGATTGGATTTGATTTGGCATTAATGTTCTCATAAACATCCTCATTCAGACCCAGGTGCTTTTGCAGTCGTGTGACTAGACATGGGCTAGGACTCCGTTGTCCGTGGCTGGAGTTCAAAGCTGAGAACAAAGAAGGACAGACTTCAGGAGGACACTCCCAGCCTATAGCAAAGATCCCAGATGCCACCTACATGACAGACAGAAAAGCTCAGGTGTTTTGCTTGCTCAGCCAGTTTTTCTGCTCCTCAAGTCTGGATGAAACCAGGAAGAAAGAGAGAAAGGACTTTGTAGAAGCCAAATGCCTTCTGCCTATCGCAGGGGGCATCCCTCTCCTCCTCCATAGCTGGTTCCATCGCCCCCTCACCATGAAGACAAATGAGGATGTCTTCAAAACCTGGGGCAGAGGCCCAGGACTGTGGCTCTCACCTGTAATTCCAGCTCTTTGGAAGGCCGAGAGGGGCAGATCACTTGAGGCCAGAAATTCAAGACCAGCCTGGCCAACATGGTGAAACCCCATATTTACTGAAAATACAAAAAATTAGCTGGGCGTGATGTTGGGCACCTGTAACCCCAGGTACTGGGGAGGCTGAGGCAGAATAGCTTGAGCCAGGAGGTGGAGGTTGGAGTGAGCCGAGATTGCACCACTGTAGTCCAGCCTGGGCGACAGAGAAAGACTCCATCTCAAAAAAAAAAAAAAAAAAAAAAAGACCTGGGGGTAGGGGGAGCAGGAGTCTCAGTCACAGAGGAGACCCCATATCTACAAAAAACCTCATCCTCTAGTTGAGCATTATTTTAGGTAGAAGACTCTCCCACCTAGGCAGGTAGTGGGTGATTCAATAAGTCCACAAAGATGGCCAGAGAAGGTAGCCAGAGAGGGGCAGCGGCACCAGAGGAAGTCCATGTTCCAGCCAATTGAGTGGCCAAAGGTGCCTAAGTTTCTCACAGATCAATTGGACCCAGAAGTGGGTAGCTGGGCTTGAGCTGTCCAACTGGTGCCCCCACCCAAAAGTCTCCACAAAAGGAGGTTGTGCAGTGCCCTGCTAGGGGCAGAAGGCAGCTCAACAGGCACAGGGGACTGAGTAGTAAGCAGGTCCCCAAGGCCCCCTGAGGATTTCATCCCTGAACTCCACAAGCCAACGTTTGGGTGGCTGATGCACAGTAGTGGTAGACTATGTTTTCCAAAAGTGACCACGGCAGTATTTTTGGTTCCACGTTGCAATTCCAGAATCACACCACTTCCCATCAAAAGGTGGCATCTGGCTGGCCGCAGTGGCTCACACCTGTAATCCCAGCACTCTGGGAGGCCGAGGTAGGTGGATCACCTGAGGTTAGAGTTTGAGACCAGCCTGGCCAACCTGGCCGTCTCTACTAAAAATACAAAAATTAGCTGGGCATAGTGGCGGGCACCTGTAATCCCAACTACTCAGGAGACTGGGGCAGGAGAATTGCTTCAACCCAGGAGGCAGAGGTTGCAGTGAGCCAAGATTGTGCCACTGCACTCCAGACTGGGTGACAAAAGGGAGACTCCATCTAAAAAAAAAAGTGGCATGGCGCCTGTAAAACCAGAACTTTTGGAGGCCAAGGCAGGAGTATTACTTTAGCCCAGAAGTTTAAGACCAGCCTAGGCAGCATAGTGAGATCCCCATAACTCACTGTGTTGTTATCTCAACATATTGGGAGGTTGAGATGGGAGGATTGCTTGAGCCCAGGAGTTCAAGACCAGCCTGGGTAACATAGCAAGCCTCCATATCTACAGAAAAGTTAAAAATTAGCCAAGTGTGGTGGTGCATACCTGTAGTCCCAGCAACTCAGGAGGCTGAGGCAGAAGGATCGCTTGAGCCCAAAAGTTCAAAACTATAGTCAGCTGTGATCATACCACTGCACTGCAGCCTTGGAAAGAATAAGACCCTGTGTCAAATATATATATATTTGACAATTTACCCTCTTCCCTGAATCTTCTCTCTCTCTCGCTTGCTCGCTCTCGCTCTCTCTCTCGCTTGCTCGCTCACGCTCTCTCTCTCTCTCTCTCTCTCTCTCTCTCAACAGAGACCTGCTCTGTCACCCAGGCTAGAGTGCAGTGGTGCAATCTCAGCTCACTGCAGCCTCCACCTCCTGGGTTCAAGCGATTCTCCTGTCTCAGCCTCCCAAGTAGCTGGGATCACAGGTGCATGCTACCACATCCAGCTAATTTTTTGTATTTTTCATAGAGATGGGGTTTCACTATGTTGGCCAGGTGGGTCTTGAACTCTTTTTCTTTTTTTTTCTTTCTTTCTTTTTTTTTTTGTAATGTGCCCTATGCCTGGGGTCTTGAATTCTTGAACTCTGTCCCCCCACCTCAGCCTCCGAAAGTGCTGGGATTACTGGTGTGAGCTACCACACCCAACCTGAATCTTCTATTGATATTTATTTTTAAATTGTTGTTAAGCAACTCTGAAATGTCCATGAAAATGGTTTATCTATGGGAATGAAAATTACAAGCTATTGTCTTCTGAGGATAAATGGAACATATATCTTAGTTTCCTACAAAGGGCATTTGCCTCTTCCTGTGAGATTTTTCAAATATGTATTTTTGACATTTCTTTTTCATTATGAGATTGTGACAAGAAGGAAATTGCATGTGGATATAACGCTATAGGATAAGCAGAGCCTGCTCGATCCCTTTCCAAGCCTTCTGTGACCTCCCAACTGGAAGCAATAGCAACGGTGCCCCATCTGGAGTAGCCACTGCCATGATGCTGGCTGCAGTGAGGGAGGCACAGCTGGGACTGCAGCACTCCATGGAGCTGGAGGGAGCTGCAAACACATGGAAGCCCCCCTCCTTCCAAGTTGGAGGGGCAGGAGCCCCTGGGAGGAGAGCTCCCAGGAGCAGCTGCAGCCACCCAGCCACAGCCACAAACCCAGGCATCTCTGCACTCTCAGGAGCCTGGGAAGCCTCTCTGCCCCCACAGGTTTGGAAGTGCCTGTTCCCACTGACTGGCCTCTCCCTGCTCCTGGCACCCACTTTGATTTCAGAGCAAACTTGTGTCTAAGCCCTGGAGCTGTCACAACCTGGCCGAGTATAAGCACACTTAGGCAAACCTGATACACCTGCCCCTTGCCACCCCAGCGCCCTCCAGACTTTGGGCACCCATGACCACAGGAGGGATGCCAAGGCAGAGCTAAGGGCAGCTGGGCATGAGCCTGCAGGCACCCCTCAGTATGAACAGCCTGACTGCTCTGGACACCATGAATGGTAGGACAGTGGTGGCAGGAAGCAGTCCACTAAATGGAAAGGGGTGAGTCCCCATTGAAGCCCCACCGTTAGGCCAGGGACAGCCCTGAGGCCTGGAAGTCAGACTGCAAGTTCTGTGGACTGGAGTGAGAACTTACTGTGCTTTTTCAAGGTCTGCCCATGGACCAATGAGCAGGCACTTCCTTCCCTCTGAAGCCCATAAAAACCCCAGACTCAGCCAGATTCCAGCAGATAACAGGATGACTTGCCTGTGGAGAGGAGCTACCCACTGTTGGTCACCTCTGAGCTTCTAAGTTGTTCTGCTGATTAAAGCACTTCTTCACCTTGCCTACCCTCCACTTGTCCATGTACCTCATTCTTCCTGGATGCAGGACAAGTACTAGGGACCTGCTGAATGGCAGGGCTGAAAGCTGTAACACAAACTGGGCTGAAACACACCTCTTGCTGGCCACGTTGTGGGTGACAAGAAGGAGAAGAGAGAGAAGGAGAGAAGAGCTTTGGTTCTTCAAGGATCCCAGACCTAGGAGCTCGCCAAGCCAGGGCTGTGACATGCTCTTTGGGGCTCCGTGGTTACTGGTGTCTCCAAGCTTCTGGGCACCACTGCATTCCCTGGTGCCAGCCATGGAAGCTGCTTGCAGTATGCCTGGTCCAGCCACAGCCTTGCAGGGAGCAGGCACATGGAGCTGCCTGCCCTGCCACAGGCAGCATGCCTGGCTGTGCTCAGTGACCTGACCCCACACTCACACACCCCTCACCCCTCTATGCCTGGCTCACTGTTGGCAAGTATGGGATCAAGACTGGTAGCATGAGCCAAGAGCAGCCTGCCAAGCCAAGTGGGCAGAATGAGCCCAGAGGGCCCAAGCAAAACTCCAGCAAAGGCACCACTGGCCACAGAGGTTTCTGGCCAGAAAAATCCCAAGGATCCTGTGACAGAAGCTAGGGGGAAAAAACATGGATTTTGCATATGAAGGGCAACCAAGAGGCCAAGAAAGGAATTTGTGTATGATGCTCCAACATTTCCCATGCTAATTAAGATGATGGTAGGATTTCATGATATACCAGTTCCAAGGAAAGTCATCACCCAATGCTGGATGAACTCATGGCTGCCTTCGCAATGTAGTAGGGAGGTGATTCTCCAGTGAAACTTTGTGGTCTTTCGGGGCCAGGATGGGAAGAAACCTTTAACAACAGTTCACAGCTCACTTTTCCACGCAAGGAAGCATACCTCAAGGTCCTTCATGCATGGTTTCTGCAACACAGCATGACACGCCAGAGGAACCCTTCCCTTCAGCATTGACCCCACTAGCTTTCACAGCATGAAAGTCAAACTTAGGAGCCCATAATTTCTAGGGTGCCCTTCAGGAACTTTTATTTGCTCAGGGCAGCTAATTTTTAATTTGTGGTGTTTTTAAGCACCGTATCTCTTTGTAATCATAAATGATTACATTTCATGATTCTTTCAGCACTTTCATCTTTGAGTTCCTTCAAAACTCTTGTGTGGATACCACCTAATCTCATCAGCTGAGCTTGTTTGCTGACAGGTCTAGAACCTTGGGGTTACCAATGTTATTGCCTATAGCCCCTCTGACTGTGGGACCAGTAACCTCATTTCTTGGAATCTACCCTTAGAAAGTAATCAAAGATGTTGAGTATGGACACAGTGGCTCCCACCTGTAATCCCAGCACTTTGAGAGGCCAAGGTGGGCAGATCACTTGAGGCAAGGAATTCAAGACCAGCCTGGCCAACACAGTAAAACCCCATCTCTACTAAAAATACAAAAATTAGCCAGGCATGGTGGTGGGCACCTGTGATCACTGCTACTTGGGAGGCTGAGGCATGAGAATCTCTTGAGCCCAGGAGGTGGAGGTTGCAGTGAGTTGAGATCATGCCATTGCACTCCAACATGGCAACTGAAGGAAACTCTGTCTCAAAAAAAAAAAGACAGGTGCAGTGTCTCATGCCTGTAATCCTAGCACTTCAGAAGGCCAAGGCTGGCAGATCACTTGACACCAATAGTTCAAGACCAGCCTGGCCAATGGGGTGAAACCTTGTCTCTATTAAAAATACGAAAATTAGCCAGGTATGGTGGTGGGCACCTGTAATCCCAGCTATTCGAGAGACTGAGGCAGGAGAATCGCTTGAACCTGGGAGGTGGATGTTGCAGTGAGCCAAATTATGTCATCTCACTCCAGCCTGGGCAACAGAGAAACACTCTGTCTTTAAAAAATAAAATAAAATAAAAAAACATATTCTTTCTAAAGAGGGGCTTATATATTTGTTTTTCTTCCATGCTGATATTCTTTGTTTCCTATGGTCTCTGGAGAATGTGCTCCCTAACTTTGGGGAAAAAAAAGAAAAGATAACAAATGATACCCACCAATCTGTCCCCATCCCACCACCTCATCACACACACCTGACAAGTGCTTTGCAAAGACTTCTCTCAGCGAAAGCCACACTACCATGGTGGAAATGAATATCTCAGTAGCACTTACCAGAGGCATCCAGGAGGGTTAACTCAGCATGTCCTGCATGATGGAACATGCAGTAGAATAACCACAATGTTATTCTACTCTTTTTTTTTTCTGAAATAGATTCTCACTCTGTAGCCCTAGATGGAGTGCAGTGGTGAGATCTCAGCTCACTGCAACCTCCGCCCCAGGCTCAAGCAATTCTCCTGCCTCAGCCTCCTGAGTAGCTGGGATTATAGGCGCCCACCACCATGCCTGGCTAATTTTTGTATTTTTAGTAGAAATGGAGTTTCACCATGTTGGCCACGCTGGTCACAAACTCCTGACCTCAGGTGATCCACCTGCCTCAGCCTCCCAAAGTGCTAGGATTACAGGAGTGAGGCAGCACCCAGCCCATATTCTGCTCATTTTTTTTTTCTTTAGGGACCTACTGTAGCTGGAAGACAGGAAGTGACTGAAGAAGAATACATGGTCATTACCTAATTGTTATTAGACAGTGGTCAACTGGGACCTGCCTGAGGTCTCCTCATCCAGACCCCGGGCTTTCTCTCTGTCTGGATAGCCCATCCACTGGAGACTCCTGTGACTTGACCTCCTCCCACCTGGGCCATTCGCCTTACCTAAGGAGGACTAGACTTCCTGCAAGCAGAGCCAGTGAGCAGCTTGCAGATGCTGTGTGAATTTGTTTGAGGTCGCCACCAACTCCATGGAACTGAGGCCACAAAAATTGTTGGGAAAGTTGATTCTGGTCTAAGGCCATGATGAGATGCCAAGAATTAAAAACCAACCAGTTGCATCTGTCATTATACAAGGCTAATTTCCTCCAATGAGGGGCTAGGGAGCTCACTTCCAGAATACACAGAGAATTTTCTTATGCAACAAGAAGAAAAAGACTATTCTTTGAAAGGGAAGGAATTGCAACTGTGCTTCCATGTGTGCGTGTGTGTGTATGCGTGTTTGTTTGTTTGGAGACAGGATCTCGCTCTCCCATGCTGGAGTATAGTGGCACCACCATAGCTCACTGCAGCCTTGACCTCCCAGGCTCCTGAGTAGCTGGGACTACAGGCAGGTGCCTAGCTAATTTTTTTTTTTTTAACTTTTGATAGAGATGAGTCTCACTGTGTTGCCCAGGCTGTTCTCAAACTCCTGAGCTCAAAGGATCCTCCCACCTCCGCCTCCCAAAATGTTGGTATTACAGGCATGAGCCACCACACCCAGTAGAGACAGTCTCACTCTGTTGCTCTGCCTGGGATGCAATGGTGTTATTATAGCTCACTGTAACCTTGAACTCCAGTCAAGTGAGCCTCCTGCCTCAGCCTTCAAAGTAGCTGGGACTGCAGACATGTGCTACCACACTTCACTAATTTTTTAAATTTTAAAATTAAAAAAAAATTTTTTTTTGAGATGGCGTCTCACTTGGTCACCCAGGCTGGAGTGCAGTGGTGAGATCTCAGCTCACTGCAATCTCCACCTTCCAGGTTCAAGTGATTCTCTTGCCTAAGTCTCCCAAGTAGCTGGGACTACAGACGCATGCCACCACATCTGGCTAATTTTTGTATTTTTAATAGAAATGGGATTTCACCATATTGGCCAGGCTGTTCTCAAACTCCTCATCTCATGATTTTTGCCCACCTTGGCCTCCCAAAATGCTGGGATTACAGATATGAGCCACCGCACTTAGTCATCTTTTTTTTTTTTTTTTTTTTTGGTAAAGACAAGCTGTCATAATTTTGGCCAAGCTTGTCTCGAACTCCTGACCTCAAGCAGTCCTCCCTCCTCAGCCTTCCAAAGTGCTTAGATTAGAGGCTGGGATTATACTGTGCCCAGCCACACGTTTTGAAGTAGTATACATGATTTCACATCGATTATTACATTGAGCTTTTCCAGGGGGCAAGGAACAAAGTTAGACAGAGATTGGTTGGCTCAGAGATTTGTTGTAAGGACGTGCAAGCAAGTAGAGAGACAGAGCACAATGGCCTCTGCAGCTAAATCAAGCAATGTAGAGAATGAATCACTGTTTGGGGCCTGGAGGTTATTCGGGCTGTCATCTTGTTGAGCTGTGTGCCCCCAGTCCTAGGTGGCTGGGCTCCCTTCTGTGTGCTCTGCCACTGTGCTGTGCCAGCCCTTGGTTTCTGTGGGAAGGAGAAAAGTTCCTTTTTAAACTTTCCTTTCTTGTTAGAGAATAAATCGTAAGTGTGCTAATAACTTTGTTAGGCCCTACACTATGTATGTAGCTGTGAGACATGCCATGCTTACAGGTATGTAGTACGTTCTGTGTCCTTGTACTTTAACCAAGACATCTGTGTTGCACGTGCTCACAGGCATGTCCCAGCTCTCCATTGCTTTTACCTGTTTAGAAAAGTTTTAAGTTGTTAGCCAATTGGGTTTTAGTTTAGATTGTGAGGTCTGGCTCCAGCCAGTGGAGATCAGACACAGCAGTAAGAATGACCCCAAATGCGTAAGGGATAAATATGTCTGCTTTTCCTCTGTTTGTTTTACTCTAATAGCAAGATGGCTAGTAAAAGTACCCTTCCTGCAGACCAGGAAGTAAAAATTGAGTTGCTAAAAGATCCTTTGTCTCAGTGCTAATTTTTCTTTGTGGCACTGAGCATTCCAACAGTTTCCACAGCTGTTTGTCTTTCTCTCCTTACTCATGACCTCCACTGCCTCCTGGCTCCTATCACCTGATGACTTCTGCTTACTAATTTCTGCTTGCCTTCTGGTTTTCTGTGTGTGTCTGTCTCACATTTAAACTCCCAAACAGGTCAGGTGCGGTGGCTCACACCTGTAATCCCCGCACTCTGGGAGGCCAAGGAGGGAGGATCACTTGAGGCCAGGAGTTCAAGACCACTCTGGCCAACATGGTGAAACCCGATTTCTACTAAAAATACAAAAATTAGCCAAGCATGGTGGCATTAGCAAGTGCCTGTAATAACAATTAATTGGGAGGCTGAGGCATGAGAATCGCCTAAACCAGGAAGCAGAGGTTTCAGTGAGCCATGATTGTGCCACTGCCCTCCAGCCTGAGTGACAGAGTGAGACTCTGTCTCAAAGAAACAAAGAAAAAACTCCCAAAGACAGAGGACTTATTACTTCAGTCAGTCACAACCGTTCTGGTCACTAGACCTCTCACACCAGCCCAGCTCATGGTTCCACTGGTCAGCATACATACTAGCTATGCTGCCAAAAGGGGCCCACATCTGTTGATCTAGTCAGCTCGGGTCAGGACACTTTTCTGATCCAATCAGCTTTAGTCCAAAAAGTGTTCATTTATGGGTCCATGTAAATGTGGATTTTTTTTCCTGTCTCTGCCACCTCTGAGACAGCAAGAGCAACCCTTCCCCTTCCTCCTCTCCTCAGCTTACTCAGTGTGAACACGATGAGGATGAAGACCTTGATGATGATCTACTTCCACTTAATGAATAGTAAATATATTTTCTCTTCCTTAAAAAAGTGTTCACATGGTACAAATGTAGCAGATACTTCCAGCATACCAGCCTCCTCTTCAACACAACTATGGTTTTAAACAGTGTTTAAAATATCAATAAATATTTATTTGTATATGAAAACAGGAAAAGGATAAACTAAAGCCATGGGGGTTGTGTTAGGGTGAAGGGATTACAGGTAATTACTTTTCTTCATTTTGCAAATTTCCTCTAATGATACTGTCATTGAGTTTTGTTTTGTTTTTTGAGACAGAGTCTCGCTCTGTCGCCAGGCTGGAGTGCAAATGGTGCCATCTCGGCTCACTGAAACCTCTGCCTCCTAGGTTCAAGCAATTTTCCTGCCTCAGCCTTCTGAGTAGCTGGGACTACAGGCGCATGTCACCACGCCCAGCTAATTTTTGTATTTTTAGTAGAGACTGGGTTTCACCATGTTGGCCAGGATGGTCTCGATCTCTTGACCTGGTGATCAGCCAGCCTCAGCCTCCCAAAATGTGGGCAAAGATGAAGGCTCTAATTGTGGTAGCTTGTGAAAGCACTTTGAAGGTACAAGTGTCTGTTATTACTCTGAAAACTCCTTTTAAACGGTTATAATAGCATATGCCACATGAGCAAAGCATGGAACCTTATAACTATGCTTGCTTGTGGAAGGACATCCCTTGTCCACAGGCCAAGTGTTTGAAAATACCACCCACTGCATACAGCTCCAGGGCCCCCGAGAGAAGCTACCATGGCAGCTTTGGGAAACCAGCTACCCCTAGCTTCACTTTGATCTTCCTCTGCCTACACCCTTGTTTCAGTTCCTCTGCCACAGACATTCAATTACCAAGTATTATTATTGCTTGATAATAACTATAATTACTACAAGGAATGCCTAAGATGGAAAAGACAGGTGAAACCGAACTTTCACATGGACTGGTGTCTGAGCTGGAGAGTCTGAGTTTGAGTCGAGGAAAGCCTGCAACCCCCCACCACCCACTCCCGTCGGTCCCTGCATTAACTGGGGGAGAACAAAGACCCGACCCTCCAACCTGGAGGCTTGAAAACTTAAGGCCAAGGTGCCCGGTCCCCCCCCGCACCCGATTCGGAAACCGAGATGCAAAGTCCTCCCTTCTTCCTAGAGAGGACCCGGAAGCGCGGCGCGGTCCCGGAAGGCGAGGTGCTGACACACTTCCGGCCTTTGTGACTCATTGTGTCTGTGTCGAGGCGTCGAGAGGGCCTAAGTCCGTGTGCGGTGCCCTTCGGCCGGCCTGAGCCCCAGAGTCAGCTCCCCTTTCTCGCCGAGCGCCCCCAGGCCGCTCCCGGGGCTCACGGTGAGACTTGGGGCCGGCCTCTGGGGTGGGCGGGCGAGGCCGCAGGGGTGTGTGCGCGAGGGTGGGCTCCGCAGCTGCAGCCCTGGGACCCCCTCCAGGCGACCCCGGTGTTGTGCGAAGAGAGTCCATGCCCCTGGCTCCTGGCCGGGCCCGGCCGTAGGAAGCGTCGTCCTCCCTGGGAGACGTCCCCGCCCCACCTCCGGGACCAGGCGGGGAGGGGGCGAGGGTTTCAGTGGCCTGGGATGCCCGGAGACGTGGGGAGAAGTTATATGCGGGCCCCTCTCTGGCAGTGTCCTCATAGCCCTTTGACGTTTCTGCAAACGGGGTCGTGAGATAACCGACCCCTGTCTTGATTTTTCTGTTCTCCCTTCGTCGCCATTTGCTTTGATTCCGGTGAGGTGTTTTTTCCCCCCGGGTCCTTCGGGACCTCGAGGTGAAATGAGCGAAAGGCTGAGAGATGGACACATTTTGAGGTGCCGCATTCGTTTCCAGACCTGCTTTTCCTTCTCCCACCCCCACCACTGAGCGGTGATTAAGGAGTGTTTGAAGCCTAGTCATAGTGGATAAAGAAGTGATGGGGATCTAGTAGAAATTATATACACCCCATTCTGTTTCAGCTTGACGGAATGTTTTGAAGGCTTTGTAAAAGAGCTGTCCGGGACGTTAGGTGGATTTTTCAATTCTGGATAGTTGCTCTGTTTGACATGGAGTGGGAGAGAAGTGAAGGGAATTTGGAAATTGCACTGTGTCACTAGGAGGCTGATTAGCTGAGTGACCTTGGATAAGAGAAGACACTCACCAAGTCTTAATTTCGTCATCAATAAAACTAACTGGATTTTCCCAAAAGGTCCTTCCGACTTCGAAATGGTTTGGTCGATGTATTTGAAAAATTCAACTACAGTTTAGCCTGACACTCCTCCCTCTCTCCCCTCCCTTTCCTGCCTTGCCCCCGGTACACAATAAGGTACTTTCATTATAGAGAGTGGCTGTTCCATGGCCTGAGACCAAAGAAAGCATTTATTGTACGGGCCAGTGCCAGGCGGATTGGAGACGGTCAATAAATACTTGTTGAACTGAATTGTGGAGAATTCATTGTAACCGCATCACAAAGCACTGTTAGTATATATGCTGAACAAGGGTGGAGAAATCGCTGTAGTACATAGGGAACCATGATGATTTGCCCCAGAATGTGTATCCAGAATTGTATCTTCTCGGGATTACCATACAAGATTCTTATTATTTCAGGCAGTTTTCACCAGTCTGAAAATACAAACAGGGGAGCTAGCTACTTAGTCTTTTGCTCATTCTCCACTTGATTTAAAAGCATTTAAAGTGTTTTCTATTGCATCCAAATACAGATGAATAGCATATTAAATCTAACGTTTTCATTCTGTGGGAGTATCAATATTCTTTGAATAGCTAGCCATCTTTTAAGGTAGCTTTTCATATTAAAACATTTGATAGCTCCGTTTAAAAAAAAAAAACGGGTGTAAAGGGCAATTTATTTAAACCTTTCGGGTTTTTGTTTTTGTTTTTTAACAGAGGACAGAGTCTTGCTCTGTCACCCAGGCTGGAGTGTAGTGGTGAGATCTTGGCTTACTGCAACCTTTGCCTTCCAGGTTCACGTGATCTTCCTGCCTCAGCCTCCCGAGCAACTGGGACTACAGGCATATGCCACAAGGCCTGGCTGATTTTTGTATTTTTAGTAGAGACGAGTTTCGCCATGTTGGCCAGGCTGGTCTCGAACCCCTGACAGACAATCCACCCACCTTGGCCTCCCAAAGTGCTGGGATTACAGGCATGAACCACTGTGCACCCAGCCTTTATTTACACATTCAAGACTATGCCCTGGAAAAATACTGAGCTGTTTAGAAAACAGCCTTTGAAATAAACAGTTTGTAACTTAAAGCCCTTGTTTAAGAAAATTCTTTCTGTTTATCCTAGGTGAGAACTGAAGTGTCCTTAGCTGCTGGGGGTAATTAAAGTGGATGTTTTTCAGCCCATATTCACACAGATAATTTCCTACTATCTGGAACCGCTAACCTACCCCCATTTAACTGATAAGGATACAAATGCCAGAGAAGTTAAATACCTCACTCAGGGATGTGCCGCTTGTTTGTGGGAGACTAGAATTCAGTTATTGATGCCCGAGCCGCTTTCACTATTATGGGACCTGTCCCATTGCTTGATCTTTTTAAGCAGGCTGAAAATTGGAATGTTCAGTTACATCTTTTAAGCTTATTGAAAAAAATTAAAACATTTCTGTAGTGCCTACGAAATGCCAAGCACTATCTTAAGTGCTTTTTATCTGTTACCTCACTTAATCCTCACAGCAACTCTGGGGCAAATGCTCATATGTATACAGATGAGGAAACTAATACAGAGAGAGGTTAACTTGTTGACTTGCCTAAGGTCATCAACTAGTAAGGGGTGGAGCAGCTTTAATGCTAAGGCGAAACTCATCCAAGTAGCCTGTGGAACAAATTTGAGGGCAACATTGAATGTAAAATGAACAGGCCTTTTTTTTTTTTGAGACAGAGTCTCGCTTTATTGCCTAGGCTGGAGTACGGTGGCATGATCTTGGCTCGCTGCAACCTCTGCCTCCTGGGTTCAGGCGATTCTCCTGCCTCAGCCTCTCTAGTAGCTGGGATTACAGGCACACGCCACCACACCTGGCTAATTTTTGTATTTTTAGTAGAGACAGGGTTTCACCATATTGGTCAGGCTTGTCTTGAACTCCTGACCTCGTGATCCGCCCGCCTTGGCCTCCCAAATGCCGGAATTACAGGCATGAGCCACTGCAGTGGCCCGAATGGGCTTCTAAAAAATAGTAACATTGCCAATTTAATCAAGTATATTTTTAAAACACACTTGCAAGGAATCATGCTAAGTGGTCTAAGAAGCACAAAGAGGCATGCTCTTAACAATAAGCTAGTTGAGGAAGAAGGCAAGAGAAATTACAGAGAAAAAGTCTGGGCACAGTGGCTCACACCTGTAATCCCAGCACTTTGAGAGGCTGAGGCTGGTGGATCACCTGAAGTCAGGGTTCAAGACCAGCCTGGCCAATTTGGTGAAACCCGGTCTCTATGAAAAATAAAAAACATTAGCCAGCCATTGTGGTGGGCACCTGTAATCCCAGCTACTCGGGAGGCTGAGGCAGGAAAATCACTTGAACTCGGGAGGCGGAGATTGCAGTGAGCCAAGATTGTATCATTGCACTCTAGCCTGGGCAATAAGAGTGAAACTCTGTCTCAAAAAATATATATATTACAGAGAAAGAAACGAGAAATTACCTAGAAAATATTTGGTGAAGAGTATTAGGGTCTTTTTTTTTTTCAAGGAGGACTGCAGTATTGGGGTCTTTAGAGACAGAAGAGAAGACTGTACTCAGATCATCTGACAAACCTAAAATAAAACCCAGCCTTTCTACTGCTGTGATGGGTCTTTCTTGGACGCCAGAGTAGGAGCAGAGAAATACTGAGGGTGGAGAAGATGACCTCTCCCACTTAGGGGCAGAGGGAATGTGCCCAGGTCCATGTCTGTTCCCCCCGGACTCATTTCCTCCTTAGAGTCGCTTCCTGTTGATTCCCCTGACCCAAGAAGTGTCCTGCTCAATTGCTGAGTCAGGATACAACTTCCACAGAAGAAGGGATTTTTGGTGGCTGGGCTAGCTGTCACACTAGTTGTGCTTAGTTACCATGTTTGAAGGTCCCACTTTGTTATGTTGTGGACATTCAAGTCCCCCACTGTTCCTGAGTGATTTTTTTTTTTTTTTTTTTTTTTGAGACAGAGTTTCGCTCTTGTTGCCCAGGTTGAAGTGCAATGGTGCAATCTCGGTTCACTGGAACCTCCGCCTCCTGGGTTCAAGCGATTCTCCTGCCTCAGCCTCCCAAGTAGCTGGGATTATAGGCGAATGCCACCATACCTGGCTAATTCTTTGTCTTTTTAGTAGAGACAGGATTTCTCCATATTGGTCAGGCTGGTCTTGAACTCCCAGCCTCAGGTGATCTGCCCTCCTCGGCCTCCCAAAGTGCTGGGATTATAGGTGTGAGCCTGGTCGTGATTTTCTTTTTGGAGACAGAGTCTCGCTCTGTCCCCCAGGCTGGAGTGCAGTGGTGCGATCTTGGCTCGCTGAAACCTCCACTTCCTGGGTTCAAGCTATTCTGCCTCAGCCTCCCAAGTAGCTGAGATTGCAGGCACACACCACCTCACCCAGCTAATTATTGTATTTTTAGTAGAGACGGGGTTTCACATGTTGGCCAGGCTGGTCTTGAACTCCTGAACTCAGTGTATCCACCGCCTTGGCCTCCCAATATGCTGGGATGACAGGCATGAGCCACTGTGCTCAGCCTCTCAGTTCTTTATATAGTGAGATGATAAGTGTAGCTAGCTCCTGAGATTGTTACGTGGTCAGGTGAAATGCTTAAATACCCGGTACCTAGAAAGCACTCAATAAACGGTGGCTCTTACTATTATACCTACGAGAGGGTTCTTGAACAGCGATAAGTGGCAAGTGGTGTTTTAGCTTAGCTTTGAAGGATAAGTAGGATTTGAAAAGGCAGAGAGGACTGCAAAGGAAGTCCCAGGTATGGAGTGTGATGTGGGGAAAGAATGGCAGTCAAAATACAAGGCATATGTAGGAAATACTGAGGAGAGTGCTTTTTGGATAGGGAAGGTTTATGGGGGGGATTGATGGGAAAAGAAGCTTGAGGGGAAATTGGGACCAGGCACTGGACAATATTGACTGCAAGGCTGTAGAGTTTTAGAAAAAATAATCTGAGAGGTGGATTGTGGGAGAGTAGGGAGAAAATGAAGGCAGGGAACCAGAGAAAGGAAGCTGGACTTCATGGAACTAGATAAATAAGTATGGCCTGTGATCCCAGCACTTTGGGAGGACAAAGCAGGTGGCTCACTTGAGGCCTGGAGTTTGACACCAGCCTGGCCAACATGGTGAAACCCTGTCTCCACTAAAAATACAAAAATGAGCTAGGCATGGTGGCGTGTGACTGTAATCACAACTACTCAGGAGGCTGAGGCTGGAGAATCGCTTGAACCCGGGAGGCGGAGTTGCAGTGAGCTGAGATCATGCACTCCAGCCTGGGCAACAGAGCAATACTCTGTTTCAAAAAAAAAAAAAATAATTTTTGTGCTGTTATATGTACGTGATCCGTTTTCCACCAGAGAATATGTTCAGTGGGCGCCATATAACTGAAAATGCTTTTGCTGGTTTAAACTCTTGGTTTAACTCCTCATGATAAAGCAGTTGAACAGTCTGTTTCTAAAGCTTCAGTTTGATGCTTAGTTTTGGTGGCTGTGGAGGTGAAAACGTTACTTCACAAAGATTTGTAGTGTCAGTTCTGCTTAGCAACTTTGATCCAACCCGTCAACCATGCTAAATTTTTGTTGTTGAAATTCAAAGAGTATATTTCTATTTTCCATTACTTTAAATCACCTGTCCTTACAAATGAATTAGGCAGTGGCATTTTATATTTTTAACAAATAGGCTTAAGACCCACCTGAAATTCTTAATTAGAAAGATTTTTAAACAGGTTAGAAAATACTTCCAAGTTTCTCAGGCCTGGAGTGCAGTGGTGCAATTTCTGTTCACTGCCACCTCCACCTCCCGGGTTCAAGTGATTCCCCTGCCTCAGCCTCCCGAATAGCAGAAATTACAGGTGCCCACCATCATGCCTGGCTAATTTTTTGTATTTTTAGTAGAGACCGGGTTTCACCATATTGGCCAAGCTGGTCTCGAACTCCTTACCTCAGGTGATTCCCCTCCCCCCACCCCCCTGCCTTGGCCTCCCAAATTGTTGGGATTACAGGCATAATCCACCGTGCCTGGCCCCAAGTTTCTAAAATGTGAACGTAGATGGCGATGGCTTTTTCCTGGATATTTGATACCATTTTTGGCGGTTAAATTACATAACAGTGGAAACATTTCATACAGCTGTTCTTGTACTTGCTCTTTCTTTGCACTTATTTTTTTTTAAAGAACCTACTTTCTCACTCATTGGTGACTTTTTGTTTGGTTTAGATTGACATTGGTTTTTACCTCCTACTGTGGCTAAAACCTTGCTCTAGCTAGACGCTTCATCTGTGCCATTTTCTTGCTGTTCACGTTTCTTTGTATCATTAGCGTGTCCTGTAATTGCAGTTTCTCTACAAGAATCTTTTTTTTTTTTTTTTAAGATGGAGTCTGGCTCTGTTGCCCAGGCTGGAGTGTAGTGGCATGATCTCAGCTCACTGCAACCTCCACTTCTGGGGTTCAAGCGATTCTTCTGCCTCAGCCTCCCAAGTAGCTGGGACTACAGGCATGTGCCACCACGCCAGCTAATTTTTGTATTATTAATAGAGACGGGATTTCACCATGTTGGCCACGCTGGTCTCAAACTCCTGACCTCTTGATCCACCCACCTTGGCCTCCCAAAGTGCTGGGATTACAGGTGTAAGCCACAAGACCCGGCATTTCTCCCCCACCCCCAGACAGGGCCTTGCTGTCACCCAGGCTGGAGTGCAGTGGTGTGATCATAGCTGATTGCAGTCTCAAACTTCTGGTCTCAGTTCTCCCACCTCAGCCTCCTGAGGAGCTGTGACTGCAGACAGTCCTCATGCCCAGCTCATTTTTTTCCTTTTTCATAGAGACTAGGGCTCCTGTGTTGCCCAGGCTGCTCTCAAACTCCTGGCCTCAAGCAATCCTCCTGCCTCAGCCTCCAAAGGACTGGAATTATAGGCATGAGCCACCACATCTGTCTACAAGAGTCTTAAGGCTGCTTGGCTCTTTTATGAGAGTAATATTAGTTAAAGCTAGATTTTTTTTTTTTTGAGACAGTCTTGCTGTATCGCCAAACTGGAGTACAGTGGCATCATCTTGGCTCACTGCAACCTCCATCTCCCAGGTTCAAGTGATTCTTCTGCCTTAGCCTCCCAAGTAGCTGAGACTAAAGGTGTGCCACCACGCCCAAGTAATTTTTGTATTTTTAATAGAGACAGGGTTTTACCATGTTGGCCAGGATGGTCTCAATCTCCTGACCTCGTGATCCTCCTGCCTCAGACTCCCAAAGTGCTGGGATTACAGGTGTGAGCCACACCCAGCCAAAGCTAGATTTAAAAATCCATTATTTCATATAACTGGTTCTCAGATAAACCAGGCTACATCACAGTGTCTAAAATGAACAACACCTGTGACAGGTCAGCACAGACTAAGGATATTAGTGTCAATTTGTATGTTAAATATGGCTTAATTTCTCTTTTAAGATGCAGACATTCTAATATTTTCTGTATCCCTTCAGGATTATCTTGTACTTTGGTAACCACAATTTAGACTGGCCAACGCATCCATAAAAATAGTGAAAATAGCTAGATGTACAAAAGTAGGTCCTAGGGCTTCAAATTTGGTGGAATATCGACTCTACTAGGCAGCCCTCTGCTACTGACCAAACCTAAGCCTTAGTTATGTCATCTGTAAAATGGCACTTTACAATTTGGCTGACCCGCTAGGGCTATTGTGGGGACAAAAGAGGATGGTGCATGTTCCACTTTAAGCCTGGCACCTGGCACCCTGCTAACATTCAGCTCTCTCTGGGCCAGGCACCATCAGTGCTCCATTTCATAAGCTGCTCTCCACCTGCAGGTAAATCACTCTGACTCCAAGCAAACACCCCGAGGGTGGAGTCTGCTTGTTTGAATCCTGTGTTTGAGGTTTCTGTTTTGCAAATCTTGATACAAGATGTGACAGTAAAGACTGTCGTTTTTTCCTCAGTTTTTCAGGATCATTCTTTTTTTTTTTTTTTTTTTTTTTTGAGACAGAATTTAACTCTTGTCACCCAGGCGTAGCACAATCTCGGCTCACTGCAACCTAAGCCTCCTGGGTTCGAGCAATTCTCCTGCCTCAGCCTCCCGAGTATCGGGGATTACAGGCACCTGCCACCACGCCTGGCTGATTTTTGTATTTTTAGGAGAGGTGGGGTTTCACCATGTTGGGCAGGCTGGTCTTGAACTTCTGACCTCAGGTGATCTGCCCACCTTGGCCTCCCAAAATGCTGGGATTACAGGTGTGAGCCACCGCACCCAGCCTCAGGAGCATTCTTATAGTGCCTTGATGTGCTGCTGCTTATGAAGTGTTAGCAGCACAGGTCACTTCGTAAAGGTACATACTAATTTTTTTTTTAATACTTCAGGAATAGTTCAGAAACACATCATAAAACGTCTCCCAGGATTTAAAGGCGAGCACAGACCCTGTTTGGATCAAGTCAGTTCCTAGAGCTTGAATGATGACTGCTGAATCACGGGAAGCCACGGGTCTCTCCCCACAGGCTGCACAGGAGAAGGATGGTATCGTAATAGTGAAGGTGGAAGAGGAAGATGAGGAAGACCACATGTGGGGCCAGGATTCCAGCCTACAGGACTCGCCTCCTCCAGACCCAGAGATATTCCGCCAACGCTTCAGACGCTTCTGTTACCAGAACACTTTTGGGCCCCGAGAGGCTCTCAGTCGGCTGAAGGAACTTTGTCATCAGTGGCTGCGGCCAGAAGTAAACACCAAGGAGCAGATCCTGGAGCTGCTGGTTCTGGAGCAGTTCCTTTCCATCCTGCCCAAGGAGCTCCAGGTCTGGCTGCAGGAATACCGCCCCGACAGTGGAGAGGAGGCTGTGACCCTTCTAGAAGACCTGGAGCTTGATTTATCAGGACAGCAGGTAAAAACAGGTGAAACCTATTATGTGTGAGCAGGGCATGGATGTTGAAGCTGGAACCAGGAGAAGTCTTAGCAGTCTTTAGGTGATTAGGTGGTTACTCTGTCTGAAAAAGGTTCTGGCCTTCTCCTCCCTGCATCCACCTGCATACAGTCTGTTTTTAAATATTTTAAATTGCTGTTTACAAAGTGATTAACCCACAAGCCCAACCTATTTTTGTCTTCAGGTCCCAGGTCAAGTTCATGGCCCTGAGATGCTTGCAAGGGGGATGGTGCCTCTGGATCCAGTTCAGGAGTCCTCGAGCTTTGACCTTCATCATGAGGCCACCCAGTCCCACTTCAAACATTCCTCTCGGAAACCCCGCCTCTTACAGTCACGAGGTAAGAAGCAAGATTTCATTTGGAGAAAGAGAAATGATTCAGGATGAGCGACCTCTCTGTGCTGCTGAGTGCCTGTGATGAAGAAGCATGCTTGGCCTGGGCAACATAGCAAGATCCTATCTCTACACAAAAATAGAAAAAATTGCCAGGTGTGGTGGTGCACACCTGTGGTCTCAGCTACTCAGGAGGCTGAGGTGAGAGGATTGATTGAGCCCAGGAGGTTGAGGCTGCAATGAGCTGTAATTATGCCACTGATCACTCCAACCTGGGCAACAGAGCAAAGACCCTGTCTCAAAAGCTACTTAAAGAAAAAAATTAGGCTGGGTGTGACGGCTCATACCTGTAATCTCAGCACTTTGGGAGGCTGAGGCAAGTGGATCACTTGAGGTCAGGAGTTCGAGACCCAGCCTGGCCAACATGGTAAAACCCTGTCTCTACTAAAAATATGAAAATTAGCTGGGCATGGATGTCATGTGCCTGTAATTTCAGCTACTCGGGAGGCTGAGGCGGGAGAATCACTTGAACCCGGGAGGTAGAAGTTGCAGTGAGCCAAGATTGCACCATTGCACTCTAGCCTGGGTGACAGAGCAAGACTCTGTCTTTAAAAAAAAAAAAAAAAGTTAATTAAAAATTTTTAAAAACAGGCACGGTGGCTCACGACTATAATCCCAGCACTTTGGGAGGTGAGGTGAGTGGATCACCTGAGTGGGGGGAGTTCAAGACCAGCCTAACAACGTAGAGAAACCCCATCTCTACTAAAAATACAGAATTAGCCAGGTGTGGTGACAGACGTCTGTAATCCCAGCTACTCCAGAGGCTGAGGCAGGAGAATCGCTTGAATCCAGGAGGCAGAGGTTGCAGTGAGCTAAGATTGCACCATTGCCCTCCAGCCTGGGAAATAACCGCGAAACTGTCTCAAAAGAAAAAAAAAAAAAAAGCTTACCCAGAGGTAAGAAGACCTCCTTACTTCCCTGCCTTTCTGGATATTGCTACTAAAGTGGGTTTTTTTTGTTTTTTTGGATTTCATTGAGACAGGGTCACACTCTGTCATCCAGGCTGGAGTGGGGTGGTATGATCATAGTTCACTGCAGTCTTGACCCATTTTGCTCAAGCCATCCTCCCGCCTCAGTTGCTACTAAAGATTTTAAAGCTGTGTTGTGTTTTCACAAGTGTAGGCATCAGTGGGATTCTTATATCCTGGTATCATTCCTTAGACTGGGGAAAATTAGGAGCCAGACTTGAGTCATGGACTGAATGTACGCACTTCTACAGTTGAGAATAGGATACTGGGTTCCCATCCTGGCTCTGCCACTCTTAACTGTGACAATAGGCAAGTCATTTGTACTCTCAGGGACTCATTTTCCCTTTCTTCAAAATAAAAGGATTGGACCAGGTGATTAGGACCCTTTTATGACTCCTGCTTGAGAGTAGAGGTCTTGGGAAAACTGAGGCCTATGTTCTCTCGTTTGTGTTGTCTGGAATTCTCTATTTCGTACCTAAACACTGAACAGTGAACATGCTGGTGCAGGAAGGAACGTGCCCCGAGACCTTCTTTGAGCAAGGCTCCGAGCAGAGCTGATTTACTCACAGCCCCTTTCTCCTTCTCCAGCTCTTCCTGCCACCCACATTCCTGCACCCCCTCATGAGGGGAGTCCCAGAGACCAGGCAATGGCATCTGCGCTATTCACAGCAGATTCCCAGGTGAGCTGTGGCCCCTCTGCCCTCCTGAGTCCCCAGTGTCTGCCTCTGTTCCTGAGCTCTCTTTGTGGTCTCCACACAGGCTCTGGATGCCCCTGCTTTCAAAGAAGCCCCAACCCTGTCTCTTCCTTTTAGTGTCTTTCTACCACAAACTCCCTCTGCCCCCGGGCTCTGGCCACCTTTTCCTTCCCAGCATCCTGTGGCTTTGCAGCCACCTCTGTTCCTGACGCCAGGTTTGGGCAATGGGATCATTCCTGAGTTTGGGGGGAAATGACTGTGTTTGTCTCCTGTTATTTCAGGCAATGGTGAAGATCGAGGACATGGCTGTGTCCCTCATTCTGGAGGAATGGGGATGTCAAAATCTGGCTCGGAGGAATCTCAGTAGGGACAACAGGCAGGAAAATTATGGGAGCGCGTTTTCCCAGGGTAAGACAGATGCAGGCTTAATGTCTGATGAGATGGTTTTGCCTTGGCCGGGCACAATGGATCACACCTGTAATCCCAGCACTTTGGGAGGCCAAGGCAGATGGTTCATGAGGTCAAGAGTTCAAGACCAGCCTGGCCAACATGGTGAAACCCCGTCTCTACTGAAAATACAAAAATTAGCTGGGCATGGTGGCACACATCTATAATCCCAGCTACTCAGGAAGCTGAGGCAGGAGAATCTCTTGAACCTGGGAGGTGGAGGTTGCAGTGAACCAAGATCATGCCACTGCACTCCAGCCTGGGCAACAGAGTGAGACTCTGTCTCCAAAAAAAAAAAAAAGAAAAGAAAAAGATGCTTTGCCTCTTTATGTGTTAGCTGTAGGATATCTGATGTGTTCAGCTGAGTGTTTATGAAGACTTAGAGACTACCTAGACCCATATACCCTTTTTTAGACCAGAGAGTGAGAACGTTTGTGTTTATTTAACTCCAAAAGCATAGTATTGTGACACTGATTCCAGATGGGTTTTTTATCACTAGGTAGTTTTTGCCCTTTAAAATCAGAAATAATTGTGTTCTGAGTCCACTCATATGCCTGAGAGGCAGCTCTGCCACATTCCCATGGATTACAATTGAGGGGGCTCTGTCGGGGGAATATCTCTTTCCTAGCAGTGATGCCAATGCGCTGCTTTGTGTAGTTCCACAACTTGAACCTGGACTGTCCTTGTGATGAGGATTCCCAGCTTCTAAACTTAATGGTGATTTTCTGTAAAGAGCTCTGGGTCCTGGTTGTGTAGTAAGAACGAGGAAGTTCAACAGGCAGCCAGATAAGACAAGGCGACACCGTTGGCAGACATTTTCATTTGGCTCTTCTAGATATTAACCCCTCAGGACAGTGCTGCAAAGAGGCCTTCACATAAGTTCAATAATAAACAGGTACATAGCAAGACTTCTACCTGGGAGGGCAAAGGGAATGTGAATGAAGCGTGAACATGAAGGATGTTACTAATGAAACTTTGAGTTCTGTTTTCAATCATAGGCATAAATGGGGCTTGTAAATTCTCTTGATACTTGCTCTTTGTACTAGATGAATTTTTTTTCTTTTTTTTGAGACATAGAGTCTTTCCCAGTGCAGTGGTGCAATCATAACTCACTGCAGCCTTGACCTTCCCGGCTCAAGCCATCCTCCCACCTCAGCCTCCAGAGTAGCTGGGACTGCAGTCATGCATCACCATGCCCAGCTAACTTTTGCATTTCTCGTCATGTTGCCCAGGCTGGTCTCAAACCCTTAGGCTCAAGCGATCCACTCGTCTCCGCCTCCCAGAGTTCTGGGATTCACAGGCATGAGCCATAGCACCCAGCCTCCAGTATTATTTTCAGTTTCTTTTCAATTCTCAGTTATTCTGTGTCAGTCAGTGAAGGGTTTAATTATGTTTACTAATGCTATAACCACTTTTTTTTTTTTTTTACCTACCCCTCTGTTACTTGAGCACTGTCAGCTCTGTGCTCCTCTCCCTGATGGAGAGACACTGTTTCCTATGTCTGAAGGTTCTTGTAGCCTGCCATGTTCAAAACAAGTTCCTTGGCTAGGCACAATGGCTCACACCTGTAATTCCAGCACTTGAGGAGGCTAAGGCAGGAGGATCGCTTGAAGCCAGGAGTTCAGGACCAGCATGGGGAATATAGCAAGACCACTGTCTCCACAAAAAATTTTAAAAATTAGCCAGGCAGGGTGGTGCAGGCCTGCAGTCCCAGCTACTTGGGAGCTTGAGATAGGAGAATCGCTTGAGCCCAGGAGATTGAGGTTGCAGTGAGCTGTGTTCAGGGCACTATACTCCAGCATGGGTGACAGAGCAAAACCCTGTCTCAAAAACAAGAAACCAAGTCCTTGTTTGCCTACTAATCATCAACTTGTTGATGGGAAACTCACAGAATTAGAGAAATATTTACTTTTTTTTAAACTGTATTCCTTTGTTTCTGCTAATACCACTAATCATTTTCTATGAAAGACCAGTTCTTTTTTTAAACTTATGAATACTTGTTAGAAATGGAGCATGATCTTTTTCTTTTCTTGTCTTTTTTTTTGAGACGAAGTTTTGCTCTTGTTGCCCAGGCTGTAGTACAGTGGCACAATCTCAGCTTACTGCAACCTCCGACTCCCAGGTTCAAGCGATTCTCCTGCTTTAGCCTCCCAAGTAGCTGGGATTACAGGCCTGAGCCACCATACCTGGCTAATTTTTTTTATTTTTAGTAGAGATGGTTTTCACCATGTTGGCCAGGTTGGTCTCAAACTCCTGACCTCAGGTGATCCACCTGCCTCGGCCTCCCAAAGTTCTGGGATTACAGGCTTGAGCCACCACGCCTAGCCATGATATTTTAAATGTATACATATACCTTCCAATTAGTTATCAGGTGATCCAGTAACCTCTGTGACCTCTGAAGGCTCCTGCTTCTCATCCCTTTCCTCCTCCTGTGACTTGTTCTCTTCCCTCTGCTAATTCCCTGTGTGTCTGTTTCTTCCCATCCTCTCCCTATGCTCTCTTTGTCGTCATTTTCCCCTTACTCTCCACTCTTTGCTCTCTCATTTTCCAAATTTTTGTTGTTCCAAAACTGGGACAACAGATTTCCCTTTTCTCCTATTTAATCTCCAATTAATATTGTAAAGTCAGGCTGGACACAATGGCTCATGCCTGTAATCCCAGCACTTTTGGGAGGCTGAGGTACTCAGGTCACCTGAGGCCAGGAGTTTGAGAGCAGCCTGGCCAACATGATGAAACTGAATGTCTACTAAAAAATATAAAAATTGGCCGGTGTGGTGGCTCACACTTACAACCCCAGCACTTTGGGAGGCCAAAGCCGACAGATCATGAGGTCAGGAGTTTGAGACCAGCCTGGCTAACATAGTGAAACCCTGTCTGTACTAAAAATACAAAAAAGTAGCCAGGTGTGGTGGTAGGCATCTGTAGTCTCAGCTACTCGGGAGGCTGAGGCAGAATCACTTGAACCCCAAAGGCAGAGGTTGCAGTGAGCTGAGATCACGCCATTGCACTCTAGTCCAGGTGACAACGTGAGACTCTGTGTCAAAAAAAAAATTAGCTGGGCATGGTGGCGTGCACCTGTAGTCCAGCTACGCAGGAGGCTGAGGCAGAAGAATTGCTCAAACCCAGGAGGTGGAGGTTGCAATGAACTGAGATCACGCCATTGCACTTCAGCCTGGGCAACAGAGCAAGACTCTGTCTCCAAGAAAAATAAAAATAATGCGAAGTCATTTTACAGCCATGTAGAAGCTTCCCGGGAAACTATCACTTGATTCACCTGTATATTCAAAAAAAAAAGGTGCAATTTGAATTTTCTATTTCTTGTATCAGGTGGTGAAAACAGGAATGAGAACGAGGAGTCAACCTCAAAGGCTGAAACTGCAGAAGACTCAGCATCACATGGGGAGACAGCAGGAAGATTCCAGAAAGAGTTTGGAGAGAAACGTGACCAGGAGAGCAAAACAGGAGAAAGACAGCAGAAGAACCCTGAGGAGAAAACTGGGAAAGAGAAGAGAGATTCAGGGCCAGCTACAGGAAAGGACAAAAGAACCACCACAGGAGAGAGAGGCCCAAGGGAGAAGGGGAAAGGATTGGGAAGAAGCTTCAGTCTGAGCTCCAACTTCACCACCCCTGAAGAAGTTCCCACAGGAACAAAGTCTCACAGATGTGATGAATGTGGTAAATGCTTTACAAGAAGTTCCAGCCTTATCCGCCATAAAATAATCCACACTGGAGAAAAGCCCTATGAATGTAGTGAGTGTGGGAAAGCCTTCAGTCTTAACTCCAACCTTGTCCTGCATCAGAGGATCCACACAGGAGAGAAACCTCATGAATGTAACGAGTGTGGCAAGGCCTTCAGTCACAGTTCAAATCTCATCCTCCATCAGCGCATCCACTCTGGAGAGAAACCTTATGAATGTAACGAATGTGGGAAGGCCTTCAGCCAGAGCTCAGACCTCACCAAGCATCAGAGAATCCACACAGGGGAGAAACCCTATGAATGTAGTGAATGTGGAAAAGCTTTCAACCGAAACTCATACCTGATTTTGCATCGGAGAATTCACACTCGAGAAAAGCCCTACAAGTGCACTAAGTGTGGCAAGGCCTTCACCCGCAGCTCCACCCTCACTCTGCATCACAGAATCCACGCCAGAGAGAGAGCCTCTGAGTACAGCCCAGCCTCCCTTGATGCATTTGGCGCCTTCCTGAAAAGTTGTGTGTAAAGCAAGAATTTGCCATCAAGCCATTTCCCCCTTTTGTTTCTAAAATTATTTCAGAGATATGTGCCCATAGAGGGAAAAAGAAATACAGCCTAAATGGATTAAAACACAAAAATCACACTTCAGGATCCTCCTGGTCACATCAGCAGTGTTCTGCCTTTGTGTAGTAGTTAAGCATATAATCCTTCCACACAGCCCCTGCAGGGAAAAGCTTATCTGATGGATAATCCACGTGAGATTTCCACACAAGATAAAAGCACATGCATAGTAAAATGTCAAGCTTTTCAAGGTAACGAGGATACCTTTAAGGCACTCTTTGACCCCGGCAACCACAACATCATAGTTAAAAGATCAAGATTGGCTCCATGAACATGATAACGGAGGTTAAGATGCTACTTATTGCAAACAAGCCCTACTTTGGCCAACATCTTGCTTATTCCTCAAAAAAGAGGAATAGTGAAAACAAAAACGACATGGGGACATGCTGCTTAAGCTAGTTATATATATGGTAAGTTATATATGTGATCACTGGTAGCCTACCAAAGCTATAGAAATCTAGGACTGTGCTAGTCAGTATCAAACCAAAGATTTCTATCTCTCCTGAAAGAGAGGGTATGTGCACCAGTCTACAGTTCCAAAGGACTGCAACAAATGTAGATGGTTCTATCCTCATTCCTGAGATCAATTCTACTGAAATGGCAACAACAACTCAAAATACTTCTCTCCCTTTTTGAAATCCCTAAAGCACTATAGAACTCCCAAATGCATTTCTCCGCAAGTTAGCACTTGATTGTATACTGTCTTTTAATCCTTCATTGTTTCATGTATGAAGTCTTTAATCACCCCACCCCAAAAAAAGATTCAGTTGTCAAGGGATATATTTCTGTCCCTGCCAGCACAGTGCTGGACATAGTGAGTGCTGAAAACCTAAGAAGTACTCATTAAGACTGTAACAGGACTTCTGTGTGTGTGATAAAAGCCTGTGAATCGTGAGTCCCTGGCCTGGCTTCTAAAGAGGACCTTTGTAGCCACAAGGCATGCTAAACGTCTAGGGTCTGATGCTATTTTTGTTCCAAATATAAACGAAAGGCACTGGTTAGCTGCCTGCATAGACTTTCTAAACACAGATCACTGAGTAAATACCATGGAATGTCAGAAATGACTCTATCGTCGTCATCTTAAAGAAGAAAAATAACACTGACTAAGGTCATTTTTTTTTTAATCTCCTCCTGTGGCGAAGCTCTTAGAGTTCTTTTAGCTTCTGAACAGTGATGATTTGGGGATTTTCTGAATCATTTGTAACTTAGATACTGGAGCTCAGAAGATGGGATTTTTATTGCTTTTCAGAAAAAGGAATGTGGTAGAGAGCATTTTTTTCCACACTTTTCCAGTAACTTTGCAAAAGCATTAGTTGTTAACTGGCAATTACTAAATGTATTTTATTGCTCTGAGAAGCTCTCCACTGTACTGAGATGTATCTGGCTGTGTCATCATGATGCACAGTGACTTTTCTGTTTCTTATCACTAAAGATCGAGGTGAAGTTATGAAACTTCCATTGGTCCCATCGTCTGTGCAGAGGGCGCACTGCCTACCTAGAAGCTGATGGCAGAGACTGTTTCACACACAGGAAACCCAAGTATTGTGGGCTGTGTAGGTAGTCATCGGCACTCAAGCATAGGACAGCCCTGCAGAAACTTAGAAACATAGACTGAGAACAGACCTCAAGACTATCAGTGTGACCTCCCCATAGCAAGAGAACCCCATATATAGTTTGAGACTTGCCCTTAAGAAACTTACATTAAAACTGTATTCATCAGTCATTCACTGATCAACGGCTAATATCCATGGGACCAAATGGTTTTATGTGGCACCAACTAAGTAGGAGCTAAAATTCTGCACAGTGGCCATTCTTTGGCCTCTCCTTGACTTTATGACTTAAATCAACCACTATAGAAGCTTCCAAGCAGTTTCATCAATGTTACTTGGGAAAACATGTTGCAGGTTAACCAGTCACCAGGATACTTCTACCCATGCAACAGAAGGAAAACCTGTTACTCTGGAAGAGTATATCTAAGCAACTGTTTATGGTAAAGTGGAGGTAGAAAATGTATTAAGGATTTTCTTCAAAGAATAAGCCACAGCGATGGTTGTGTGGAAAACTGGTGCTTTTGAGCAAGGACTTTTGCCCTCTAGAAAGCAACTGAGGCCGGGCGCCATGGCTCACACCTGTAATCCCAGCACTTTGGGAGGCCAAGGTGGGTGGATCACCTGAGGTCAGGAGTTCGAGACCAGCCTGGCCAACATGGTCAAACCCCGTCTCTACTAAAAATACAAAAATTAGCCAGACATGGTAGCAGGCGCCTGTAATCCCAAGTACTTGGGAGGTTGAGGCAGGAGAATCACTTGAACCCAGGAGGCAGAGGTTGCAGTGAGCCAAGATAGTGCCATTATACTCCATCCTGAGTGACAAGCAAAACTCTGGCTCAAAAAAATAAATAAACAAATGAAAGTGAGGTGTGGAACTCCAGGCAACAACCCAAACACTGACCTTGTTTTTTAAAAGGGAAGGGACTTTGGTCATGTTTACATTGGCTTTTTTTTTTTTTCTTTCAGCCACAACTACATGCTGATAGAATTTGGCCATCATTTTTGGGTTTTGTTTTTAAATGGAAAATGTGACCTGTGCCCTCACATTTAATTCCATTTCATTGGGACATATTCCTGACTTTGTTGGATAGCTGCCACTGGGATTGCTTCAGACCTTCAGCATATGCTCTCCTTGAAGCAGCTATTTGAAAATATGTTTTCTGAGGAAAAAAAGGCTCCAGCTGTTTATTAAAACCACTTGCAGTGCATTCATTTATCAGATGCTCAATGCAAAGTGTAATTGGGTCATGGTCAAAAAATGCAACATCTCATTGGCGTTCGAGATAGTCATTCAAAAGTTTTTGGCTGGCTGAAGTTTGTTAACAGTTGAAACACCCTACAGTTAACCATTAGCATGCCAGTTGTCCTAATGGAAATTTTGAAGAATTTTTCAATATATACCCTGCCCTTGCCAGGAAGAGAAGTAAAATCTTCAGGTCATGGCGTATTTGTTTCTGCTCCAGCCTGGAAGGCAAGGCTAAAACCTGAGAATATTGATGTATGAGACATCTTGATATTAAGGCACTTAAAGGCATAAAAGTGAAACTGCTAAATATGTGTAGAGAGATTGACGTGTGATACATAGGACAGTTCACATAGACATCAGATAATTTATTCCAGAAAGGAACCTCTTGAATGTGATGAATATGGCAAAGCCTTTAATCACATCTCAGCCCTTAGCATCAGAAAGCCTACACTGTAAATAAACTTTATGAATATTATGAGTGAGGAAAACTTTCCTGTATTGCTTCCTCATTGCTTCAGACAGAAAATGAATTACGTCGGTATGTTCCAGTCGTGATGAATTTGAGAAACACTGCAAGAGGGAGCTCAATCGTGGCCCAGCACGGTGGCTCACACCTGTAATCCCAGCACTTTGGGAGGCCGAGGCGGACAGATCATGGGGTCGGTAGTTCGAGACCAGCCTGGCCAACAAGGTGAAACCCTGTCTCTACTAAAAATAAAAAATTAGCCAGGTGTGGTGGCGCATACCTGTAGTCCTAGCTACTCGGGAGGCTGAGGCAGGAGAATCACTTGAACCTAGGAGACAGAGGTTGCAGTGAACTATCATGCCATTGCACTCCAGCCTGGGTGACAAGAGTGAGACTCCGTATCAAAAAAAGGGAGCTCAATCTTAACTGCAGAGGATGTACAGACTGAAAAAAAAATGTGGGGAAATGCTTTAAAAAATTAGCAAAATGTGCGACTTCTTACAAAATTGTTAATGTTGAGTATTTCTATATATTTTATAAGACCATAATGTCCGTTTGTGTTTTGTACCTTCAGTCCCTGTTACTGTTCAGTGTATTATCTATCTGTAAGCAGATTCTGTGTTTTATTTTAGTCTGTTTGACAGAACACATCACTCCAAAATGAAGTTTTGGAGTAAACAGTGAAGAAATCGATGTGGTTGTAGACAAAAAGTCAGTTCACAGAACAGAGCAGCGGGGAGATGAAGGGAAAAGCTTCATAGTTCGGTGCTTATCAAATCGAGATTGGTACATCTGTGAGGAAAGACAGGCTAATGGGGCACTAAAATGGAACAACTTTAAACATTCAGTATTTTGAGTTTTTCTTCAAAACCAAGAGGTTGACTTCTGAGCTGTCAGCTCACCATTGCACACAAAGGGATGGATTCTTTTGTCAGCAGAGGGTCTTCTCCGTGAAGTGAGAGTGGGAAGTGTACAGGAATGGCCAAGTGGGACTGCTTAAGCTGACCAGGTTCTCTAAAACGTACTCATTCTTTCCCACTGACTCACTCTTAAATCCTTAGGCTTAGAAAATTGGGGATAGGACTGGCCGGGCTCGGTGGCACACACCTGTAATCCCAGCACTTTGGAAGGCCTTGGTGGGCGGGTCACTTGAGGTCAGGAGTTTGAGATGAGCCTGGCCAATCTCTACTGAAAATACAAAAATTAGCCCGGCACGGTGGTGAGCGCCTGTAATCCTAGTTACTTGGGAGGCTGAGACAGGAGAATCGTTTGAACCAGGGAGGCAGAGGTTGCAATGAGCCGAGGGTGCACCACTGCCCTCCAGCCTGGATAACAGAGTGAGACTGTCTCAAAAAAAAAGAAAATTGGGGATAGGAGAACAGCAATAGGCATTCTCTGGAACTGGATGCAGATGCATCATCGTGGCATTGCAGGAAGCCTGCAATTTTGCAGTATTCCCGTGGCTGTGTTCCTGGGTTCACTGCTCCCACTTTTCTTCCCCTGGTCTATGATGATTAGGAGAAAGGGTTGTGAAGAGTCATTGCTGTGAAAGAATTGTTTTTGAATTTTTATCCTAGAATCAGTCACCTTTATTCCAGGTAGTCATGCTGATCTGCTTATCCAAAGCCAGCTAACCAGGTTCATCCTCATGAAAGACTCTGTATGAGTTGGAATAATAGTACTGAAATACACTCAAACAGTGACAGCAATACTTGCCAGGGGGGCCATATTTCTCTGTGTCCTACTCTGAGCAACTTCTCAGAATTACTTCTGAGGGGGCTGGGGTTTTCCCATCTGGGAAATCGAGTGAAGGTCTGCAGATTGTTAAATATAGAATTAGAGAAAAAGAAAAGTCAGTGGTATAAATAGATCACTTCGTAGAAGTTAGGGTAGATTTTTATTTCAAATACTGGAGAATTTAATAAAAAGCATTATTGTTTGAAAAGTTTTTCTAACAGATTTAGTTTGTGTTTTTAGAATGGACACTACTGTACATTTAAAAGCAATTATTTTGCTATTTAGATTACTTTTTTATTATCTGAAAATGAAACTATCTTTTACTTTTCAAAGCTTTGTGAAACAAACTTGAAGTTATAGGGAGATAAGCCATCTCCAATTCTGCAGGTCAAACAGAAGTTTGGGAAATACTTTTAACATCCCACAATACAGAATGTCTTAACATGAGAATTGAATTTCATGTTGTCTGGTTCCATTTAATAGACACCACCCAATCTCATGTTTTCCTGTTATCCTAAAACAATGGAAGGAAACCAGGTGTTTGGTAGACTTCATGGTCTGTGATGATTTTAATCGGAGATTCTCGCCTCCATTTACTAAAGAATCATGACTCAATTCAAATTGCACAGTAATCAGTAAAGTGAATATATCTTTAAAATGGAATTTTCTCCCTTCAGCAAGCACTCATTAAGCAGTGAGGCTGAGTATTTTAAAATATAAAGATAGATATGTATGAGTGATTGAAAGGTGGTATTAAAAAACTTAGATTTCATTCCAGTTTTAGGTTTGGGTTTTAAGTTCCTTTGGTCCAGGGAAGGGTTCAGGCAGCCACAGTCGCCCTAAATCACTGTCATTAAGTCTTCCAGCAAGGTTAAGTGCGTTATGGAAGGAAAAGGGGGAAGTGGACTGTAACAGCCTCTCCTGGGCTGAGGAAGAGTAATGAGGAAGCCTGAGGAGGGGCCAAGGAAAGGCTGTTGGGATGTGCTATGGTTGGTACCCGAGTGCCTTCCCCTCACCTCAACCAGGGAAGAGCATCCGGCTGCTTTTTAAAGTTTTTAGTCTGCCCTAGCAAAGACAAAGCATGTTAGATTAGAGATGCTTCTGCTGATTGCAGGGGTTCTTATTTGAAAACATATGAGGGGGGTGGGGTGGGAGGAGGCAGATTGTGGTTATGCAGGAAAATCTTGTCCTAAAAATATATGAGTTTGGGGGTAAGGGGTGGGATATCCAAGCAAAATTAGTAATTATTTTAAAATGAACATATGTATTTTTATTAACTTTTAGTTAAATATAGATTTTACAGTGAGGTGAGCATAAGCCTAGATCTATATAGAGAGCTAACTCAGGCATCGTCTCGTTTATTTGTAGACTATTAAAAACAACCTGTCCTGTTTTGTCATTTAGAATAAATTAGACCAAAAGAAGAAATATACTTGTCTCTGTATACCCGCAGAATGAAGTTACCATTGTTAAGAACTGGATTTCTCATTTTACTAGGTTCCGAAGAGTCAGGATGCTTGGTAGATGTTCGGTATGTGATTTTAAAAATTGACTTTGTTCACTTAAAGTTCTTCTTAACATTTCTAGGAAGACTTCTTTCAATAAATAATGGAATCTTAGAGGAAAAGTGGGTTTTTAAAAGCTAGGAAACTCTCCACTAAAAGTAATCATTGGAAACCTCGTTGAGGTCTAAAGTTTTAATCCTAAGAGAAATGGCAGCATAATGAAACATGTACACATTTATAGTCAGTGGTCCATCTTAGGAGGCCAGTGGTGTCTGATAAAGAAATATTAGAGTAGTGAGGTTGGGGAAGGAAATTGTGGGGATTTGTAATAAATACTCTATGTTGTTTCTCTTCTGAGTCATGGTAAAACAATAAATTATCTCTAGGTGGCAGTGCTTGTGCTGGTTTTTTATATATTTTTAAAAATCATCCTTGGTTGCATAAATACACATTGGGGGCAAAGAAAAAAAGTATTTCAAAGTTAAAAGGACTGGAACTGCAACCCACAAACAAAATTCTCACACAAAACTCTACCAAAAATAAAATTCAAAGACCTCCCAGTCCTAGGAATGAACCCCTCCTCTCAGCCAAGGGCATTCCAAAGTTAACCTGAAAAACAAGTTCAGGCCATGCTGGGAAATGGGAGCCAGACATGCCTCATTATACCATCTTCCCTTATGGAATTACTGGTACAACAGACTTTTTTTTTTTTTTTTTTTTTTTTTTTTTTTGAGACAGAGTTTCGCTCTTATTAGGCTGGAGTGCAATCGCGTGATCTCGGCCCACCGCAACCTCCACCTCCTGGGTTCAAGCAATTCTCCTACCTTAGCCTCCCGAGTAGCTGGGATTACAGGCTGCGCCACCATGCCCAGCTAAGTTTTGTATTTTTAGTAGAGACAGGGTTTCACCATGTTGACCAGGATGGTCTCGATCTCTTGACCTAGTGATCCACCCGCCTCGGCCTCCCAAAGTGCTGGGATTATAGGCATGAGCCACTGCACCCGGCAACAGACTCTTTAAGACTGATAGACATGGTTGGGCACAGTGGCTTACTCCTATAATCCCAGCACTTTGGGAAGCTGAGGCAGGTGGATCACCTGAGGTCAGGAGTTCAAGACCAGCTTGGCCAACATGGTGAAGCCCCATCGCTACTAAAAATACAAAAATTATTCAGGTATAACTTTAAGACTGGATGTGGAAAAAAAAAAAAGAAAAATACAAAAATTAGCCAGGCATGGTAGCAGGTACCTGTAATCCCAGCTACTTGGGAGGCTGAGGCAGAAGAATCACTTGAACCTGGGAGACAGAGGTTGCAGTGAGTCACTATGGCATCACTGCATTCCCATCACATGACAGAGTTAAAATCCAGCTCAAAAAAAAAAAAGACTATTGATAGACATTTACAATCTGTTCTCTCTGAAGCCTGTCACCTGGAGGCATCATCTGCATGATAAAAGCTTGGTCACCACTGCCCCTTATTGTAACCCAGACATTCCTTTCTACTGATAATAACTCTTTGAGCCAATTGCCAATCAGAAAAAAAATTGGGGGGGGATGGTCTCATTCTGTCGCCCACGCTGGAGTGCAGTGGCACAATCTCAGCTCATTGAAACCTCTGCTCCTAGATCTAGCGACCTTCTCACCTCAGCCTACTGAGTAGCTGGGACTACAGGGCCAGCTAATTTTCATATTTTTTTTGTAGAGATGGGGTATCACCTTGTTGCCCAGGCTGGTCTCCAGAGCTGCTCCGTGAAGTGATAACTTCCTTGCAACCAGGTTTGCACACATCAAAGAAGCTGTGGAGCAAGTGCTGTCCTGTGATGTTTGCACAGAGTTGGCTGCTGCAGTGACTTGAGTAAAGAGTGAGCTGGGAGGATGTGAGATGGTGTACAGGAGGCATCCGAACACATCTATTAACTGTTTTTATTCACACTTCTGACACAATGTGTGATTTTTTTCCCACACCAATGCTCTAAGTCTCTGGACACCAACTGGGTGCCCTGCAGTTCAATTCAATTCTGACACTGCCTGGAGCTGGTGCAAACCCCATAGGTTATGGGCTCAGTCCCTCAAGACTGCCCCCATTTCAGACTCCAGTCTTAAGTTCTGGGTTTTCACCTGTGCTCCTGACCGGCTATAAATCAAGGGCTTCCACAGCCCTCTCTTCAGGCTCAGGTTTGATCATTTGCTAGGCAGGCTCATAGATCTCATATATATTTTTGTTATGTATGCACACACACATCTTTCTTGAGATAGGGTCTCACTCTGTGACCTAGGCTGGAGTGTAGTGGTCCAGTTATGGCTTACTGTGGCCTGAAACTCCTGGGTTCAAGCAATCCTCCTGCCTTCTGAGCAGCTGGGGCCACAGGGACACACCACCAGGCCCAGGTAATTTTTTTGTGTGTGTGTATTTTTTGTAGAAACAGTTTGGCTATTTCCCAGGCTACTCTTGAACTCTTGGGCTCAAGTGATCTGCCTGTCTTGGCCTCACAGGCGTGAGCCACCACGCTCAGCCTTATTTTTGTTTGTTTGTTTGTTTGTTTGTTTGTTTTAATAATTGTTATTTTTCCTTTTATAGAGACGGGGTTTCCCTATGTTGCCCAGGCTGGTTTCGAACTTCTGTCTGGCCTCAAGCAATCCTCCCACCTTGGCCTCCCAAAATGCTGGGATTACAGGCATAAGCCACTGTGCTGGACCCAGAGCTGGATTTTATTTGTATTTATTTTCTTTGTTTAGACAGGGTCTCATTCTGTTGTTCAGGCTGGAATGCAGTGGCATGATCATGGCTCACTGCCTCAACCTCCTGGACTCAAGCAATCCTATTTCAGCCTCAGCTGAGACTAAAGGCATGCACCACTACACACACACACACACGTTTTTTTTGTTTGTTTGTTTCTTTTTTTTGCAGAGACAGGGTCTTGTTATGTTGCCCAGGCTGGTCTCAAATTCCTAGGCCTCAAGCAATCCTCCAACCTCAACTTCCTGAAGTGCTGGGATTACAGGCTTGAGCCACCGCGCCCGGCCTAAAATCCAGTTTTACCAAGAACCTCCTGCTGTTAGTTTAGTAAGAACCTCTCGCCCTCCTCCATATCTAATTACTCGCCCTCCTCCATATCTAATTACTTTTTTTTTTTTTTTTTTTTTTTTGAGACAGAGTCTCTCTCTGTTTCCCAGGCTGGAATTCAGTGGAATGATCTCAGCTCACTGCAACCTCCACCTCCTGGGTTCAAGAGATTCTCCTGACTCAGCCTCCTGAGTAGCTGGGATTGCAGACGCATACCAGCACGCCTGGCTAATTTTTGTATTTTTTTTTAGAGATGGGGTTTCACCATGTTGGCTAAGCTGGTCTCGAATTCCTGACCTCAAGTGATCTACCTGCTTCAGCCTCCCAAAGTGCTGGGATGACAGGCGTGAGCCACCACTCCCAGCCCCTATCTAATTCTTCTTAATATCTGATCAGGTTCCTTGTCCCCCACCATCCCACAGGCAATGTCTGATCACCCTAGCCTGTCTTCAGAAAGAATACCCCTTCCCTCTGATGTTTTCTCTTGATGATTTTCCATCCACTGAGCCCCATCCCGCTCCTTGGCTATAAATTCCCACTAGACCGTGTTGTGCTCAAAGCTGAGCCCAATCTCGCTCTCTCACTGCACGATCCTACTGCAGTGGTTCCTGTATTTATTAGGATGGTCCTGAATAAAATCTTCCTTACCATGTTTTAACAAGTATCATTGAACAGTTTTTTCATTAACAGTTTAACTCCACCATTCCACTTCCATTCTCTTTTCCTTTCAATTTTTTTTTTTATACAGAGTCTTACTGTGTTGCCCAGGCTGGGGTGCAGTGTTGTTATCTTGGCTCACTGCAACCTCCCCCTCCTGGGTTCAAGCAATTCTCTTGCCTCAGCCTCCCGAGTAGCTGGGATTACAGGCACATGCCACCACACTTGGCTAATTTTTGTATTTTTAGTAGAGATGGGGTTTCACCATATTGGCCAGGCTGGTCTCGAACTCCTGACCTTGTGATCTGCCTGCCTCAGCCTCCCAAAGTGCTGGGATTACAGGCATGAGCCACAACACCTGGCCTCCTTTCAATTTCTTTAGCAAATATCTTGACAGCTTTCTAACATGCTGTACATGTCTTCTGCTTCCGGGAAGAAAAAGGGACGTGTTCAGAGTTGTCATGGGCCAGAGGATTGTTCAGCCTACTCTAAGGGAATTCAAGGTTTGGTTACCCTCTACTGGCCAACATTGCTGATGGCAGCAAAAATGGGTGATGATGAGAATAAGCGAGGAAGATCCAGAAAACCACCTTTTTAGAGAATCATGAACACCTTACTGGAAATGGAGGGAAAGTGCCAGAGACAACACTAAACACTGGAATCTTTTCCTCTCCTGGACTTCTGCTGCAAAGAGCACAGGAATTATTTTTCTTTTTTCTTTCTTTTTTTTTTTTTGAGATGGAGTTTCGCTGTTGTTACCCAGACTGGAGTGCAATGGCACGATCTCGGCTCACGGCAACCTCCATCTCCTGGGTTCAAGCAATGCTCCTGCCTCAGCCTCCCGAGTAGCTGGGACTACAGGTGCACACCACCATGCCCAGCTAATTATTTTTAGTAGAGATGGGGTTTCACCTTGTTGACCAGAATGGTCTCGATCTCTTGACCTCGTGATCCACCCACCTTGGCCTCTCAAAGTGCTGGGATTATAGGCGTGAGCCACCGCGCCCGGCCTGGGAATTATTTTTCTTTTGTCAAGCCAAATAATCTCCCAGGCATGATGATGCACACCTGTAGTCCCAGCTACTCCAGAGGCTGAGGCAGCAGGATTGCTTGAGCCCAGGAGTTCTCTACCAGCCTGGGCAACATGGCAAAACCCCTACAAATCTTTTTTTTTTTAATAGCTAGGCATGGTAGCGTGTGCCTACTCAGGAGGCTGAGGCAGGAGAATCACTTGCGTCCAGGAGTTGGAGGCTGCAGTGAGCTATGGTCACACCACTGCACTCCAGCCTGGGCAACAGAGTGAGGCCCTGTCTCAAATAAAAATAAAAATCTCTTGAAACATAGAAAGTACACAGGATGGGAGAATCTGGCTTGTGCTCTCAGCTTTACTAATTAGCTAACTTGTACCTTGGATCTGATTTCTTCAGGCACTGGTTTCTTCATCTGAAAACAAGAGCTTAGCCAGATTTTCCGTAAGGTCTCTTTTGACATTAATATTTTACAGCTCTAAGCCCCTTTGCTTGAGGAGTATCTCAGCCTTGGAAAAGACAATGGGTTTGGAAGTTGAAGAATTTTCTTTTTTCTTTTCTTTTTTTTTTTGAGACAGAGTCTTGCTCTGTCTCCAAGGCTGGAGTGCAGTGGCATGATCTCGGCTCACTGCAAGCTCTGCCTCCCGGGTTCAAGCAATTCTCCTGCTTCAGCCTCCTGAGTAGGTGGGACTACAGGCGTGTGACCATGCCCAACTAATTTTTTAAATATTTTTAGTAGAGACAGGGTTTCACCATGTTGGCCAGGATGATCTCGATCTCTTGACCTTGTGATCTGCCTGCCTTGGACTCCCAGGAAATAGAAGGATTTTCTTCAGGTCCCAGCATAATCACTTAATGGTTTCATAACTAGGCAAAGACCCATTGACCAAGAGGCTGGTTGGAACCCCTACCAAAGCATTGATACAGGTGTGGCTCATTGAATGTGTGCAGGTTTCCTGGTTTTTCCCTCTGTCCTGGTGATCCTGTTTCCATTTCCCATCTCTTTCTTTCCAGTCTAACTGAGAGGCAGTAGAGGGCCTAAGAGCACAGGCTTTGGAGAAAGAGGACCAAGTTTCAATCTTGATGCTGCCACGTGTCAGTTGTGTGATACTGGAAAAGTGACTTTTCTGAGCCTGTTTCGTGGTCTATAAAATGGAAATTTTTAGGGTCAGGCACAGTGGCTCACACCTGTAATCCCAGCACTTTGGGAGGCTGAGGCAGGTGGATCACTTGAGGTCAGGAGTTTGAGACCATGGGGGAATGAATGAAAAAGACTGACCAGGCTGGACTTGGTGGCTCACGCCTGTAATCCCAGCACTTTGGGAGGCTGAGGCGGGCAGATCACAAAGTCAAGAGATTGAGACCATCCTGACCAACATGGTGAAATCCCGTCTCTTCTAAAAAATACAATAATTAGCCAGGCATGGTGGCACGTGCCTGTAGTCCCAACTACTCAGGAGGCTGAGGGAGAAGAATCACTTGAACCGGGAGGCAGAGGTTGCAGCAAGCCGAGATTGTGCCACTGCACTGCAGCCTGGTGTCAGAGCAAGACTCCATCTCAAAAAAATAAAAATAAAAATGAAAAAGACTGACCATGTGATAAATGTTAAAGCTGGCCAACGAGTACATGGAGGCTCTTTTTTTAATTTTTTTTTAAGAGAAAGCAAGTTTATTAGAGAAGAAACAGAAGAATGGACATGGAGGCTCATTTTCTCTAAATTTGCATGCCGTTAAACATTTAAAAAATTAAAATTATTCTGGAAAATAGGGAAGAATGATGTTGAGTATCTATGAATTCATGGCACATTTGGACAGGGAATTCCATGTGCAGGAAGGCATGTTGATGTTCCTCAATACTTGAGTTTTGCAGGACCAGACAAAAGCAAATTCACTGGGGGCCAGAGGGAGTAGCACTGAGGTCGAAAACACAGAATCTTCCGTCTGAAAACCTGCAGCTGAGCCAGAGAAGCAGGAGGAAAAGACAGGCAAAGTCATCTTCATCAGGTCCTGCGGCATCAGGAGTCCAGCCCCTAGGTCTTCTACTCAGGGAGTTTAGGACCCATAGAAAGGCGAGGCTACTTCTGATTGATGTTACCGTGATCCTGGTCTGCAAAGTTGAGGACTAAACTCTTCTTCTCTTGCCCAAATTCCTATTTAATGGGCCTGGGGAGTCACCCGCTACAAACCATAAAGTCTCATCAGATGGGTTTTGTTTAACTTTATATAACCTGACTGACTTTCCAACTAGGCTCTGGCGTAACATCACATGGCAGATAAAGAAGGAAACCAAAATGTTTTTACCCCAAATATGTTTCTTTGCCGTACCTTGAAATAGCCCTGCAAAGCTGTCTCTTGCAGGGAAACTCTACAGTCAGTAGAGAATCCCTTTCCCTTTCAGGCCTTTTTCCTGATCCAGGAGAGAATCAGCTGGGCCCCTGGCACTTTTTAAAGTCTGGTAAGAAATAGTTGCAGCCTGTTCTCTCTAAAACCTGCTGCCAGGAGGCTCCATCTGCATAATGGGAACCCTGGCCTCCACAACCCCTTAGTTCAGCGGTCCCCAACTTGGCACCAGGAACTAGTTTTGTGGAAGACAATTTTTTCCACAGATGGCAGGAGGGGGATGGGTGGTTTCATGGTTTCAGGATGATTCAAGCACATTACACTTATTGTGCACTTTATTTCTATTATTACACTGTAATATATAGTGAAATAATTATACAACACATCCTAATGTAGAATTAGAGCCCAGAGCTTTTTTTCCTGTAATTAGAGGGTCCCATTGGGGGGTTGTGGGAGACAGCGACAGATCATCAGGTATTAGATTCTCATAAGGAATGCACAACCTAGATCCCTCACAAGTGCAGTTCACAATAGGGTTTGTGCTCATATGAGAATCTAATGCTAAGGCTGATCTGGAAGGAGGCAGAGCTCAGGCAGCAATAAGAACGATGGGGAGTGGCTGTAGATACAGATGAAGCTTCGCTCCTGCATTGTGGCCCAGTTCCTAACAGGCCATGAACTAGTACCTGTCTGTGCCCCAGGGTTTGGGGACCTCTGCCTTAGTTAACCCAGACATTCCTTTCTATTGATTATAGGGCTTTAGACAAATACTTTCAGCCAATTGCCAGTTAGAAAATCCTTGAGACAATAACTTTCAGCCAACTGCCAATTAGAAAATCCTTGCCTCCACCTGCGACTTGGAACATCCCCAACATTCCAATTGTCCTGCCTTTCCCACAGAACCAATATGCATAGTGATTGGTGTCTTATGTTTCCCTAAATTGTATAAACCCAAGCTGTAGCCCTACCATCATAGGCACATGTTCTTAGGACCTCTTGAGACTGCCTCACTCCATTCGTCACTCATATTTGGTTCAAAATAAATGTCTTCAAATATTTTAGTTTGACTATTTTCATCGACAAAGTACGAACTCCATCTCTGGCTTCACGGACCAAGCACGGGGTTCCATGTTCATAAACCTGGCCCGAGGTGCTGGACCTGAGGGTACCCAGTGACCTTGGGCCACGAAGTCCGCGAGAAGGATTGAGGTGGGCACCCTAGCCCATGCTCTTCTTGCCCCAAGGCGTCGGGGTGGGGTGGGATAACCTCCGAAGCCTTCATCTGGTCTGACCGTCTTTGGTAAAAACAGAAAGAGTCCCTAGCTATTCTTTTAGGGTCGATTCAGCACCTCCCTGATGTCTCAAGGGCCAGAAACACAGAGAAGACCTCCCGACTTTCTAGAGGGGCCGCTACGGCACCGCAACACTTTGCCGAGGGGGCGGTGCTATGACGCACTTCCGGCTGCGCGGCCCCGAGGTTCGCTGTGCGGTCTCCTGGTACCCGGAGCGGCTCTGACTAACGGTGAGCCTGCTTGGCCCGGGTTAGCGAGGCGGACGGGAAAGGGCGCCTTGGGTGAATAGTTTGGGGAGGGAGGAGTGGGTTTAGCAGCTGTGGCTTCTGAGGACCCCACCTAGACTGGTCCTAGCTGGGCTGTGGGGAGGAGCTCTCTGTCCCCGCCCAGCCCCAGCTGGTGGAGGCGCTGGCTCTCTGGAAAAAGCCTTTTCTTCCACCCGGGGCTTTAACAAGTGAAAACTGGACGAACAGATTTCTGGAAGTTCTTTCGCGTTCCAGAATAGTTTTTTTGTGCAGTCCCCAAGCCAAGCCGTCTATCAGTCTGACCGTGTCCGCTTTTTTTCCTTTCTCTGAACTGGAGGTCCGAACGAACCAAGGGGGTTGGAAACCTGTGGGAAGCCGATCCTCATTAGAAGTCTTGGGTAGAATCCAATCCAAAGGAAGAAATAGTCCCCTCGGGCTTTGTTCGAGCTAGAACCCACACACATAGGGATCTGCTTAGTTTAGAAAAACATTTTTAAAGAACCATGTATAAATAAGAGTGTCAAGAGAAAGTTGGTTTGGGCCGAGTTCGGTGGCTCACGCCTGTAATCCTAGCACTTTGGGAGGCCGAGGCGGGCGGATCACTTGAGGACAGGAGTTCGAGAGCAGTCGGGCCAAACCCCATCCCCACTAAAAATATAAAAATCACCCGGGCATGGTGGCGTGCGCCTGTGATCCCAGCTACTCGGGAGGCTGAGGCAGGAGAATCGCTTGAACCCAGCAGGCGGAGGTTTCAGTAAGCCGAGATCGCGCCGCTGCACACCAGCCTGGATGACAGAGCGACACTTGGTCTCAAAAAAAAAAAAAAAAAAGAAAGAAAAGAAAGTTGATTTGGTGGGTGAGATACTTGGAAACCCACGTAATCTAAGGAACAGTTGAGCTGTGGAGAGGAAGAGTTAAGAGGCAAGACAGTTGGTTTTCAAGTATTGGAAGGCTGCTATGGAGAAAGTGAGTATTGGTCTGGGCTCAACCTAGGATTTTTGAAGTGATGAGGAATTTGATTCTAGTTAAAGAAGAACTTACAACAATTAGAACCATCCAACAGTGGATTCTGTGCCTCAAGAATTATCTAATTTGCCTGCCTAGGGATTTGCAGGTACAGACTGAAGCATTTTAGCACAAGTCGGTAAGTGCTGTTCTACTTTTAGAATCTATGATAATTTGATTTTTTTGTGCCTCATCTTGTTACAGAACGGACTTGAGACACCCTCATAAGGGCATATAAGTTTTGGGAAATTGTCATAAAGGAGGAGGGAAAATGGACACAGAACAACGGCCTTCTGTTTATGGTAGACCATGAACTTTTGCTTGATGGGCCTCTTGAGCTAAACAGTCTAGATAGCTTAGAAAAAAGTCACTGTGGTGGAAGACAGTTTGAGTTAGTAATGAAGCCTCTGATTTCTAGCCACATGCTTCTTTGTTTTTAAAAGACAGAGTTTTGCTTTGTCACCCAGGCTGGAGCACAGTGGTACAGTCACAACTCAATACAGCCTGAAACTCCTGGGCAACAAAGCAAGACTTTGTTTCTACAAAAAAAAAAAAAAAAAAGTCAACTGTGGCGATGCACACCTGTAGTCTTAGCTACTTCAGAGGCTGAGGTGAGAGGATCACTGGAGGCCAGGAGTACAAGGCTACGGTGAACTGTCATGGTGCCACTGCACTCCAGCCTGGGCAACAAAGTGAGACCCTGTCTCTATAATTTAAAAAATAAAAAAAGGCTAGGCACAGTGGCTCACGCCTGTAATCCCAGCACTTTGGGAGGCCGAGGCAGGCAGATCACGAGATCAGGAATTCAAGACCAGCCTGACCAACATGGTGAAACCCCCATCTCTACTAAAAATACAAAAACTAGCCAGGCGAGGTGGTAGGTGCCTGTAATCCCAGGTACGGAGGAGGCTGAGGCAGGAGAATTGCTTAAACCTGGGAGGTGGAGGTTGCTGTGAGCCGAGATTGCACCACTGCACTCCAGCCTGGGAAACAGTGATACTCTGCCTTCAAATAAATAAGTAAGATAAAGACCTGGTGAAGTGGTTAAAAAAAAATTGAAAAGACCTGGTAAAGTGGTTCATGCCCGTAACCCCAGAACTTTGTGAGATCAAAGCAGGAAGATGGCTTGAGACCAGGTGTTGCAGGCTTCAGTGAGCTGTGATTGTGCCACTGCACTCCAGCCTAGGAAACAGACTAAGACACTGTCTCTAAAAAATAAAAGTTTTAAATTAAAAAAAACAATGTGAAAGAGGAGTGAAGGGATGACTCCAGGTTTTTTGGTCTGTGTAAAAAAAACAATGAGAGTTGCCATTAATTGAGTTGAGCAGCTTTTGAGGGAAAGGTGGGAACGTCTTCTGGACGTGTTAAACTTGAGATGTCTTACTGGAAATCCAGATGGTGATGGCAAGTGGGTAATTAGTCGCATGAGTCTGGAGTTCAGAAGGGAGGTCTAAGCTGAAGGTGCAGTTGTGAGTATATAGATGGTAATTAAAGCCATGCAGCTGGTGAAATCGTCAACAAGAGTGAGTGCAGGAAGGAGGAAGGGCACCCAGGCTGCTACTCACTTGTAGTCTTTCTGCATTGTGCATTTGAATTGTGCGCACTGCAAAACTAATGTGCTGCTGTGCGCGGTGGCTCACACCTGTAATCCCAGCACTCTGGGAGGCTGAGGTGGCCAGATCGATTGAGGTCAGGAGTTTGAGACCAGCCTGGCCAATATGGTGAAACCCCAGCTCTACTAAAAATACAAAGATTAGCTGGGCATGATGGCATGCGCCTATAATCCCAACAACTTGGGAGGCTGAGGCAGGAGAATCACTTGAACCTGGGAGGCAGAGGTTGCAGTGAGCCAGGACCACGCCACTATACTCCAGCCTGGGTGACAGCGACATTCCGTCTCAAAAAAAAAAAACCCCAAAACTGATATGCCTAGAATAAACTGCTTAGCTAGTGAGCTTGCCCAGCCAACGGACCAGCAGCAACATCCAAGGAAATTTTTTTTCTGTAATTTGCAGAGGCAATTGTGTGATCCGTTGGCATCTGTGAATCTGGATTCACCCAAGTTCTCAGAGTATATCCTACATGAATGTTATGTTACTACATGACTCCCTGGTGACTTGCCATGTTTCCCAGGCCAAACCAGACTCTGAGCAGCCCAAACCAGTTTCTTTCCTGGTCTTGGGGTGCCCTCCTCTGGATAGAGTATGAAATTTTGTAACAGTTATGTAAAGTTAATCCACCACTGAGGAGGTCTCTTTTTTTTTTTTTGTGTGATGGAGTCTCATTGTCGCCCAGGCTGGGAGTGTAGTGGCACGATCTTGGCTCACTACAACCTCTACCTCCCAGGTTCAAGTGATTCCCTGCCTCCGCCTCCTGAGAAGGCAGGATTACAGGTGTCTACCACCACGCCCACTAATTTTTGTATTTTCAGTAGAGACAGTAACTTGTAATTTTGTGGTAACCATATTTTCTTAGGTTTAGCATGTGGCCCTAAAGAGCCAGAAACCCAAAGGAACCGATATTTTTGCCCCACAGAGTCCCGTCTTTAGTGAGGCTGTTTCTGGAGTTTATATGATGACCAACCTACTAGGCATGGCCCCAGTTCACCATGTTGGCCAGGCTGGTCTCACTCCTCGCCTCAAGTGATCCGCCTACCTTGACCTCCCAACGTGCTGGGATTATAGGCATGGGCCATTGCACCTGGCCACTCCTTTTTAAATATTCTCAAGAATGCTCTCCAACGCAGCTACCTCTGCTATTTCTTGTTTATTTTAGCCTTTGGTGCTCATGCCTTTGTTTTAGGAGGTGAGATGGCGTTGCACCTCCCCTGGCTCAATTTTTATGTGGTACCGAATTTGGGCACTCCATTGCTGTACTGGATACATCCAGACTTACTTGACCAAAGAATCCTTTATTCAAATTATCGGTTATAGTGTTTTTGAACACATTTCAGGAAATAATTTTGTATGCGTTTTTTTCTATACCTTACAAAAACAAATTCCTTTTCGTGCTTTGGGTTGCTTCCTGATGTTTGTAATTCTACTACTAAACACTCCAACCAGCATTAGTTTCTTTTAAAATTTTTTTAAGACTAATAAAAAACTTAATTTCATGACTATGAATCATCTTTACAAAATGTTAGCACTGAAGCCCATTTGTTTGTCACAAAAACTGCTTATGATCGTTCTCTCTCTCTCGGCCTGGCTAATTTTTGAATTTTTAGTAGAGACAGGGTTTCTCCATGATGACCAGGCTGGTCTTGAACTCCTGATCTCAGGTGATCTACCTGGCTCAGCCTCCCAAAGTGCTGGGATTACAGTCATGAGACATTGTGCCTGGCCCTTACGATCTTTTTTAAGATTTTATCATTTTTTTTTTTTCTTTTTTTTACTTTTTAAATGGTTTTATTTTATGTGCAAATAATTAACAGATGTTGTACCCATAAATTCTACTTTCCAAAAACAGGAGCTTTTTAAAAGAAAACCACGTACGTTTTAAAAGGCATTGGGATTCCTCTGCTTCTAGATCATTGGTAGATTAGAAAAATAAAGTTTGTCCTCCCAGGAATCACAAGTTGGAACTGAGTATTCTCCAAAGTGGAAATTCTAGAGTGTAGTGTCACTGCAGAGATTACTCAGTTCTCCTCCCCAACATCCAAAACTGCCTATTGGAAGGGTTAAACCAGGTCGAAACAGTCCAGCACAATTAGGCTTCATCAAACAATATCATTATGCTCTTCTGAGATGCAAATAAACCAAAACAGGAAATATTAAAATCAAAATAGTATTTGATACTGTCATACAAATTGTTATTTCCTTGTCGTATCCCCCCTTCTATAACATTAATAAAGGGAATATTTTACTGCAAATAATATTTTATTTTCTACATCGCTAACCATGAATTTTTGCCATTCTTTATTATACAAAGGCTGTCCTGTGCCATTATTCAAATGGAATAAGCATTTTACATCCACAATTCACTTCTATAGTTATAAGCAGAATTTTCATGATTTATGTAAGTACATCTGTCAGTGAAGATTTAACACTGAGATGCAATGTAACATCAGTAATATCTGATGTTTTATAGATGGCAATGTAGAAAAGATATATTTTAATCACTTTTCATTTAAGTAACCTTATATAAAAAATAAACTAATAATTTAGCAGTTCCAAGTTTCCAAAGGGCATTTTCAAACGCACATAAAAGAAATGGTTACAGAGATTTTTAAGAAGCGTCTTCCATATCCACATCCTCTTACAACTGCTGTACCATTTTCTCTTCCAAATGCTTCCCTTTGCCTGCAAGAGGGGCTCGGATAAGATGGATGTTTTGCTTGACTCCTTTGATATCCTGAGCTTTCTGTAGCTCTTTATTTTTCTTCAGTCTGTTCATTATAAATTTAGCTTGGCGTTTCTGTTTGATCTCTTCAACTCTCTTCATTGCATCAATAGTTTTATTCCATAGTTCTCGCTGGTATTTGATAGGTTCATTTCTACGCTTTTCAAATTCAAATGAATTATCCACTGTAAGCTCTTTACCAGCTGCTTTCCGGAATGCTTTGGTCCACCTAACTTTGCGAGGATTGCGCTTCTTTTTAAAGTTTTTATGACATTTAGATTTACAAAATCTGAACACCTTGCAATCGTTGCGTACGAACATCATGCCGTGGCCAGGGTAGATGGGCCCGGAACAGAAATAACAATTCTCGATACTCATGTTGAACCCGCGTGGGTCCCCACTGACCAAACGCCAAGCTTCGAAGGAAGTGATGTAGCACTCGATTTTCTCATTCTTTAAAAAAAACAAAATTTGGAATTCCAAAAAAGAATGAAAAATGTGGAAATCATCTATAATTCCATAACCTGGCAATATCACTGTTAAGTTTTGGTCTTTTTCCTTCATTTTGTGTGTACTATTTATATAATATATGACTTTTAATATTTTTTTAAGTGTCAGGCCAGATCCATGGAGATTATCCTGTGTTTGAAATTAGCATAGTTGATTGTTGTTGGTTTTTTGTTGTTGTTGTTGAGGCTCTTGCTCTGTCGCCCAGGCTGGAGTTCAGTGGTGAAATCACTACAGCCTTGACTTCCTGAGCTTAAGTGATCCTCCTACCTCAGCCTCCTGAGTAGTTGGAACCACAAGCGTGTGCCACCACGTCTGGCTAATATTTGTATTTTTTGTGGAAATAGGGTTAAACCGTGTTGGCCAGGCTGGTCTCAAACTCCTGACCTCAAGTGATCCACCTGCCTTGGCCTCTCAAAGTGCTACAATTATAGGTGTGAGCCACTGCACCTGGCTTTTCCTTTTTTTTTTTTTGTTTTTCAGACAGAGCCTTGCTCTGTCACCCAGGCTGGAGTGCAGTGGCATGATCTTGGCTCACTGTAACCTCTGCCTCCCAGGTTCAAGCAATTCTCATGCCTCAGCCTCCCAAATAGCTGGAATTAACAGCCATGTACCACCATGCCCAGCTAATTTTTGTGTTTTTAGTAGAGACAGAATTTTACCATTTTGGCCAGGCTGGTCATGAACTGACCACAAGTGATCCAGTGCCTCAGCCTCCTAAAGTACTGGGATTACAGGTGTGCGCCACCACGCCTGGCCAATTATTATCATTATTACTTTTTATTTTTGTTTTTTGAGATGGAGTCTCACTCTATCACCCAGGCTAGAGTGCAGTGGTGTAATCAGCTCAGTGCAACCTCTGCCTCCCAGGTTTAAGCAATTCTCCTGCCTCAGCCTCCCAAGTAGCTGGGATTACAGGCGTGTACCACCACGGCCAGCTAACTTTTTGTATTTTTAGTAGAGAAGGGGTTTCACCATGTTAGCCAGGTTGGTCTTGATCTACTGACTTCAAGTGATCTGCCCGCCTCAGCCTCCCAAAGTGCTGGGATTACAGGTGTGCTACCAATTATTTTTATTTATTTATTTTTTGAGACGGAGTTTCGCTTATTACCCAGGCAGGAGTGCAATGGCGCAATCTCGGCTCACCGCAACCTCCGCCTCGTGGGTTCAGGCAATTCTCCTGCCTCAGCCTCCTGAGCAGCTGGGATTACAGGCATGCGCCACCATGCCCAGCTAATTTTTTGTATTTTTAGTAGACACGGGGTTTCACCATGTTGACCAGGATGGTCTCAATCTCTTGACCTCGTGATCCATCCGCCTCAGCCTCCAAAAGTGCTGGGATTACAGGCTTGAGCCACTGCACCCGGCCTATTTTTAATATACTAGTTAATTCCACCCTTCAGCATGACCCTGGTTATACTGACAGTTCCAATCATTTGGCTAGTGAATTTTCATTGCTCAAGCTAAATGTCTTAGGTTTAAACAGATGGCATCTTGCCAGTAGATAGCTTGATAAAATCTCAGAAACTATAATGTCTATAGTGGTGAGGTTCTCAACTAGGTTTTAGAGCAAAGTTAATTTTAAAATTGTGCTGCCACATTGTACTTTTTAAGAGAGTGGATACCACTAAAATCAAAGTAGGCTATCCAGAGCTAATTCCAGCATTTTATTTATTTTAATTTTATTTTTTGAGATGGAGTCTCACTCTGTCACCCAGGCTGGAGTGCAGTGGCGCGATCTCAGCTCACTGCAACCTCCGCCTCCCGGGTTCAAGCGATTCTCCCGCCTCAGCCTCCTGAGTAGCTGGGATTACAGGTGCCCAGTTAATTTTGTATTTTTAGTTGAAACAGTATTTCACCACATGGCCAGGCTAGTCTCAAACTCCTGACTTCAGGTGATTTGCCCGCCTCTGCCTCCCAAAGTGCTGGAATTACAGGCATGAGCCACTGTGCCTGGCTCATTCCAGAAAGATTTAGAGCAGTTGTTTTTACGTGGTAATTTTATGGTGAACATAATTTCCACAGTTTCTTGTGCCAAAGGTATGGCTATAAAGACCCCAAAACACTTTGCAGTTTAATTATTTTATGGTAACTGTATTTTCTTAGGTTTAACGTGTGGCCCTAAAGAACTGGAAACCCAAAGGAACCAATATTCCTGCCTCACAGAGTCCCATCTTTAGTGGGGCTGCTTCTGGAGTTTATATGATGACCAAGGTCCTAGGCATGGCCCCAGTTCTGGGCCCTAGGCCTCCACAGGAGCAGGTGGGGCCTCTGATGGTAAAAGTCGAGGAGAAAGAAGAGAAAGGCAAGTGCCTTCCTAGCCTGGAGATGTTCCGCCAGCGCTTCAGGCAGTTTGGGTACCATGACACCCCTGGACCCCGGGAGGCTCTGAGCCAACTCCGGGTGCTCTGCTGTGAGTGGCTGAGGCCCGAGATCCACACCAAGGAGCAGATCCTGGAGCTGCTGGTGCTGGAGCAGTTCCTGACCATCCTTCCCCAGGAGCTCCAGGCCTGGGTGCAGGAGCACTGCCCAGAGAGCGCTGAAGAGGCTGTCACTCTCCTTGAAGATCTGGAGCGGGAACTGGATGAACCAGCACACCAGGTAGGCAGGGAGACCTTTGTTATTCTAGGAGATTAGAAACATAACATTCTAGGCAGGAACAAGAGTACGATTCGCTGAATGGAAATTTCTACTGAATTTGACCATATTTCCTCCTATTTTTCTCTATTATCCTGAACTAACCTTTAGTCTTGGGAATGGAATGGGATGGGTATTTTCCTTTTCTCTTTCCTAAAGGCTCTACATAGCTCTCCTGGGATTTTCATTTCAGTTCTTAAAGTGAGCCATGCACAAACCCAGCCATTCCTAATTGTCTCTAGGTCTCAACTCCTCCAAATGAACAGAAACAGGTGTGGGAGAAGATATCCTCCTCGGGAACAGCAAAGGAATCCCTGAGCAGTGCGCAGCCACAGCCCATGGAGACCAGTCACAAATATGAGTCTTGGAGGCCCCTGTACATCCAAGAGACTGGTGAGGAGCAGGAGTTCTCTCAAGATCGGAGAAACGTCCAAGGTAAGGACCACCCATTAGACTCCTGTTCAGTGCCCTAGGTCTCTGTGATTGGAGAAGCAGAATAATTAATAATCCTTGGTTGTGAGGTGATTTCACAAATTGATTTGTTGGGCTGACTGGGTGGAAATAGTTCACCTTCCTCCCCCAAGTTCGGCTCTCTCAGCCTGGGTCCTAGCCTGGGAATGGATCACTCTTAAAGGATCAGTTTCTCTTTGGAGTGTGGGTATTACAAATAATATTTTTTTAAAGGATTGGTTGAAGTGAGTTTAATAAAGAAACTGTTAACAGAGGTGTAGACAGTTCAGATTAACCGATAAAGAATAGTGTCGGCCGGGCGCGGTGGCTCACGCCTATAATCCCAGCACTTTGGGAGGCCGAGGCGGTGGATCACGAGGTCAAGAGATCGAGACCATCCTGATCAACAAGGTGAAACCTTGTCTCTACTAAAAATACAAAAATTAGCTGGGCATGGTGGTGCGTGCCTGTAGTCCCAGCTACTCAGGAGGCTGAGGCAGGAGAATTGCTTGAATCCAGGAGGCAGAGGTTGCGGTGAGCCGAGATCGTGCCATTGCACTCCAGTCTGGGTAACAACAGCAAAACTCCGTCTCAAAAAAAAAAAAGAATAGCGTTGCACCAGACGACAGTGGAAAGCTATTACTCCCTGCAAGCCTAAAGGGACAGAGGGGGCCCCTGTTACCAGAACCAAAAGAGCTATAGTCATGGTGGAGGGGGTCACTTGTTAGGAATTGTGGCTGTAGGCCCTGCCATGGGGTGAGGATTAAACAGAATAAATACCAGCTGCACCCTCCTCCTGCCCTTAAATCTCCTGCTTTTGTTCCCCAATGGCAAACCTAGTTGGCAGCCAGAGAGCAGGAGAGACAAGACGGTGCAGCCCTTAGGGTCAGCTTCCTGGAGCACAGGGCAGGGCAGAGAATGGATCTGGGAAAGGCAAATGGAAAATAATTGGCAACCTCCTTTCTGAAGCTATGGAAAGAGATGGGGTGTTTTTCACAAGTCAGAGATATATTAGGTGACTACTCCTGAGCTCAAATCTCCATAAATTATGGTTTATATAATAATCTCAGAGGCCATAAATGGTCATTCCCTATTGGGTGTTTTTTTGAGACAGGGATTCTGTCTGACACCGAGGCTGGAGGGCAGTGGCGTGATCGTAGCTCACTGCAACCTCAATCTCGGGGGCTCAAGAGATCCTCCCACCTCAGCCTCCCAAGTACCTTGGACCACCAAGCCTGGCTAACTTTTTATTTTTTTGTAGAGACAGGGTCTCACTATGTTGCCCTGGCTGGCCCTGTTATTTTGTTATTTTATGGTTTCTATTCTTAAGTACCTTCATTTGCCTGGAGAATTAGCACTAAATTCTTGAAATAGAGTTAATGTTTAATTATATGTCTGCAAAAATATGACACATTATTCCAAATCCTAATAGTTTCAAACCAGGACTTTGCTTATGTGTTGGTGGTGTAGGCCACTATTTATGTATGTGGTGTGATTTCATGACAAGAGTCCATGGCCCTCAGAAATATCCCTCCTTGGCATGCCTACTGTGTCTCAAACGTGAAACTCCGTTGTGGAAATAGTTTTGTGCTGTGTTAAAAATCACATTTTCTGGGAAAAGTGAAGAATTAAACTGTTAGGTGAATTCTTCATGAATTAATGTGAACACAGTAGCCCTCTCCAGGCAGTTGGGGGTCTCCCCGGAGTTGCCACAGTAATTAGAGATAAAAGTAGCCAGATACCAGCCAGGCATGGTGGCTCACGCCTGTAATCCAAGCACTTTGGAGGCCAAGGCAGGAGGATCACCTGAGGTTGGGAGTTCAAGACCAGCCTGACCAACATGGTGAAACCCTGTCTTTATTTAAAAAAAGAAAAAAAAAAAAAAAAAAAAAAAAAATATATATATATATATATATATATATATATAAAAGAGAGAAAAAAAAAGGTAGCCAGAGACCTTTCTGATCAGTTTTATTTTCCGTATCTTTTGGTGTAGCCATTGGCAGTACTACACAAAAAAGAGGGTGGAGTGGAAGGATTATCAGACCCAGTAACAGGCTTGGGTTTTAGTACCCAGATAGGACAGAAGACAAAGCTTCTGGGCCCTCCAAAGGAAAGGAAAGGAAGTTGGCGAGAGCTTTGCATAAAGTCCTTTTTTTCTTGAGACCAGTGTTGCTGTCCCCTAGGCTAGAGTGATCTCAGCTCACTGTAGCCTCTGCCTCCCAGGTTCAAGCGATTCTCCTGCCTCAGCCTCCCAAGTAGCTGGGATTACAGGTATCCACCACCACACCAGGCTAAATTTTTGTATTTTTAGTAGAGAGATGGGATTTTGCCATCTTGGCCAGGCTGGTCTCAAACTTCTGACCTCAGGTGATCCACCCGCCTTGGCTTCTCAAAGTGCTAGGATTACAGGTGTGGGCCACTGCAGCTGGCCCTGCATAAAGTCTTAAAAGGTTATACTGTCAGTATGAAAAGATATTCTAGAGCCAAAAAATGAGCCTGCTAGCATAGGAAACAGGAAGCTGCCGGTCAGGCTGAGCTCTGAGTGAAAATCAAAGCGTACCCTGAAACATGGAAACCCTGGGCATTTACCGCAGTAGTGATTGGGATCTGCCTTTGTGATGCCTTCATGGTCCAGAAGTCTACAAGCCAAGAAATTAACACCAACACTGGCCCTGGGTGCCAGGCAAATGTGAAACCACAGACAGACAATTTCAGTGAATTCTGGAATATTTCATGCCATGCAAGAATCAGTGGGGGACGTGGGGATGTGGAATAGGGAACAAAGCCTTTTTAGAGAATAAAAATTATATCCAAAGAGAGTGAGAGTTGGGAGAAACAACAAAAGGAGAAGCAAAGCCAAAATAGTCTGCAATAATAGAACATCAGTGAAAAGTTTTTTTTTTTTGAGACGGAGTCTTGCTCTGTTGCTCAGGCTGGAGTGCAGTAGCGCGATACCAGTTCACTGCAACCTCTGCTTCCCAGGTCCAAGTGATTCTTCTGCCTCAGCCTCCTGAGTAGCTGGGATTACAGGTACACACCACCATGCCTGGCTAATTTTTTGTATTTTTAGTAGAGGCAGGAGTTTCACCAGGCTGGTCTCAAACTCCTGACCTTGTGATCCACCCTGCTCGGCCTCCCAAAGTGCTGAGATTACAGGCATGAGCCACTGTACCCGGACTGAAAAGTCTTTGTAAAATAAATTGGTTTAAAATAATATTTGTTTGTTTGTTTGTTTTTAAAATAGGGTCTGGCTCTGTCACCTAGGCTGGAATGCAGAGGCATGAAACACAGCTCACTGGAGCCTCAACCTCCCAGGTTCAAGTGATCTTCCCACCTCACCCCAATTTTTTTTTTTTTTTTTTTTTGTAGAGATGGGGTATTGCCACGTTGCCTAGGCTGGTCTCAAACTCCTGGGCTCAAACAATCTGCCTGCCTCAGCCTCCCAAAGTGCTGGAGTTAGAAGCATAAGCCACTGTGCCTGGCCTTAAAATAATTTAAGACATAAAATAAATCACTGAGACCTTAAAGAAGAAGAAACTGTTAATAAAAACACACACAGGTACCTTTGATAAAAACAAAATAGAGCTCCTAAAAGTGAAAACTATAGTCATTGAAATTAAGAATGCAATGACTGTTGTAAATAATCAAGGAGATAATTAGTGAATAGAGGCAGATGTGAGGAAATCATCTGAAATGCTGCTTAGAAAGATCAAGGTGGCAGGCATTGGACATCAGTGTGGGATTAGATGAGGATGTCCAGCATCCAGAGGAGGACAGAGTTGGAGAAGGCAGACATGGTGGCTCACACTGGTCATTTCAGAACTTTGGAAGACCTAGGACGGCAGATCTCTTGGGGCCAGGAGTTCGAGACCAGACTAGCCAACATAGCAAAACGCTGACTCTACTAAAAATATGAAAATTAGCTGGGTGTGGTGGCACTCGCCTGTAATCCCAGCTCCTCAGGAGGCTGAGACATGAGAATCACTTAAACCCCGAGGCAGACGTTGCAGAGTGGGCAACAGAGCTAGACCCTGTCTCAAAAAAAGAGGCTGGGCACAGTGCTCACGCCTGTAACCCTTGCACTTTGGGAGGTGGAGGCAAGCGGATCACGAGGTCAGGTGTTTGAGACCAGCCTGGCCAACACAGTGAAACCTTGTCTCTACTGAAAATTCAAAAATTAGCTGGGTGTGGTGGCACATGCCTGCTAGCTACTCAGGAGGCTGAGGAAGGAGAATCGCTTGAACCCAGAAGGTGGAGGTTGCAGTGAGCCGAGATCACGCCACTGCACTCCAGCCTGGGCAAGAGAGCCAGACTCCGTCTCAAAAAAAGTGGGAGAAGCACTAGTGAGAAAGAGAAAATGTTGAGCTGTCCAAAAGTGATGAAAGATATAAATCCTAAGATTCAGGGCCAGGCGTGGTGGCTCACACCTGTAATCCCAGCACTTTGGGAGGCCAAGATGGGCGGATCACGAGGTCAGGAGTTCGAGACCAGCCTGGCTAACACAGTGAAACCCTGCCTCTACTAAAAATACAAAAAATTAGCACAAAAAATGTGGCACATGCCTGTAGTCCCAGCTATTTGGGAGGCAGAGGCAGGAGAATTGCTTGAACCTGAAAGGCAGAGGTTGCAGTGAGCCAAGATCATGCCACTGCACTTCAGCCTGAGCAAGAGTGAGACCCTGCCTGTCTCACAACAAGTAACCAAGACAAAAGACAGATTACCCCCTCAAAGGAATGCTGATTAGACTGATGGCAAACTTCCCAACAGTAACAGTGCAGGCTGGAAGACAATGAAATAAATAGTCCGGGTAAAATCTTTTTCAATTTTTGCCTCATTCAGCTATTTTTAAAATGTTAACTTTTGGTTGGACATGGTAGCTCACACCTATAATCCCAGCACTTTGTGAAGCCAAGGCGGGTGGATCACTTGAAGCCAGGAGTTCGAGACCAGCCTGAGCAACATGGTAAAACCCCATCTCTACAAAAATAAAAAATTAACCAGGTGTGGTGGCTAGTGCCTGGGTTCCCATCTACTTAGAAGGCTAAGGCAGGAGGATCACTTGTGCCTAGGAGGTGGAGGTTGCAGTAAGCTAAGATCATGCCACCTCATTCCACCTGGGCAATAGAGCCAGACCTCGTCTTAAAATAAAACAAAAGTTTTATGAAGTTACTTCTATCCCACACATGCAGTTCATGGCTGTGCAGTGACTCAAAGAAAAGTCTGGGTGTAGGCAAGCTATTGCTCATTATGGAGAGTGAAGAGAACTTTAGCTGCTGCAGCTCTGGGCCCCAGCAGACGGTGAGGAGAGGCTGAGCCTGGAGGCAGCTGATGGTCACTGTCAGCGAAGCAAGGAGATAAAATGGCTGGTCAGAGAGAGAGACTGTCAAGGCAGTTCCTAGGGAAGGAGAAAAGGACTTAGGAGGAAGGTACCTTGCTGACTGAGGCTTCTGTACCCTCAGGGGATTAACGGTCCTCAAAGGGGGCCCATTTTTCAGAGCAGATTTCTCTTACTCCCCCTTTCCCTGCATGTGGATGGCTAGGTGGACATTGAAGAGGTTTTACTACCTGATGAGGCACTCTAAAAAGATAAGCTGGTTCCATCTGATTTCAACAGTGAGTGTCACTTTATAACCAAATTATAGTATGTAGCCAGTGTATGTGAAATGATGAGCGTTAAGCCCTCCTGGAGATCATGTGCTTTCATTCCGATTGATACAGATCTGGGGCTGGAAGGATTGTAAATGGTCTGTCTGGATTCCCTCTTTGATTGCTTTTATGTTCAGCTGCTGTGGGAACATGGGTTTTTGTGAGTTTCCCATTCAGCATCTTCCTTAATTGTCCTTGTCATCTTCCTTAACTCTGGCCTTGCAGCAATCATTCTCCCTTGTTTTTTTCTGCCTGAGGCTCAGCTGCTCTCCTTTAAAAAAAAAAAAAGCTGGGCCTGGGGGGAAAAAAAGCTGGGCACAGTGGCTCACACCTATAATCCGAGCAGACGGATCACCTGAGGTCAGGAATTCAAGACCAGCGTGGCCAACATGGTGAAACGTCTCTACTGAAAATACAAAAATTAGCCAGATGTGATGGTGGGCCTTCTAGTCCCAGCTACTCAGGAGGCTGAGTCAGGAGAATTGCTTGAACCCAGGAGAAGAGGCTGTGGTGAGTCATGATAACAGCACTGCACTCCAGCCTGAGCAGCAGAATGAGACTATCTCAAAATAAATTAACTAATTAAAATTAAATTTAAAAAAAGATAGGGTTGGCTAGGCACGGTGGCTCACACCTGTAATCCCAGCACTTTGGGAGGCTGAGGCAGGTGGATCACAAGGTCAGGAGTTCCAGACCAGCCTGGCCAACATAGTGAAACCCCATCTCTACTAAAAATACAAAGGGCATGGTGGCAGGTACATGTAATCCCAGCTCCTCGGGTGGCTGAGACAGGAGAATCACTTGAACCTGGGAGGCGCAAGTTGCCATGAGTGGAGATCGTGCCACTGCACTCCAGCCTGGGCGACAGTGTGAGACTCCGTCTAAAAAAAAAAAAGATGGGGTCAAGCCGGGTGTGGTGGCTCATGCCTGCAATTTCAGCACTTTTGGAGGCCGAGGTGGGCAGATACCTGAGGTCAGGAGTTCGAGACAGCCTGGACAACATGGTGAAACCCCATCTCTACTAAAAATAAAAAATTAGCTGGATATGGTGGCGCATGCCTGTAGTCCTAGCTTACTCGTGAGGCTGAGGCAGGAGAATCACTTGAACCGAGGAGGTGGAGGTTGTTGTGAGGTGAGATCGCACCACTGCACTCCAACCTGGGACAGAGTGAGACTCCATCTCACAAAAAAGATAGTCTCAATTTTGCACAGTCCAGCACAATCACAGTTCACTGCATACTTGACCTTCCAGGCTTAAGTGATCCTCTCACCTCAGTCTCCCAAATAGCTGGACCACAGGGGCACAACATGCCTGCTTAATTTTTTTATTTATTTTTTGTAGAAATGGGGTCTCCCTGTGTTGCCCAGGCTGGTCTTGAACTCCCAGATTCAAGCCATCCTCCTGCCTTGGCTCCCAGAGTGCTGGGATTTTAGGCATGAGCCTCTGTGGCTGGCTACTGCTCTCCTATATGCTGCATTTTGTCTTCTATATGTGAAGTTGTTTTTCTGGCAGAAAAAGCCATGTTATTCATATCCTAATAGCTTCGGGTGGGGGCTTGTGTGAAAGTGTGGGATTGCAAACTAGATTGGATGATGCTTTACTTGTATCCATGCGCTATTGTGAGCTCTACTTAGTCACCTTTCAGAGTCCATCAGTCTCACCTGATCGTCCTATTTCTCTGGGAACAACTGAAGTATCCTTAATCTGCTTATTGTTTCAGATTGCAGATTGAGTACCCAGCACAAGGAGTCAGCAGATGAGCAGAAAGGTTCTGAAGCAGATGGGCTCAAAGGGGATATCATTTCTGTGATTATCGCCAATAAACCTGAGGCCAGGTTAGAGAGGCGGTGTGTAAACCTTGAAAGTGAAAGAGGAACAAAACCCCCTTTTCAAGAGTCAGGCTCCAAGAAAGGTAGAGAATCAGTTCCTACTAAACCTACCCCAGGAGAGAGACGTTATATATGTGCCGAGTGTGGTAAAGCCTTTAGTAATAGCTCAAATCTCACCAAACACCGGAGAACACACACTGGCGAGAAACCTTATGTGTGCACCAAGTGTGGGAAAGCTTTCAGCCACAGCTCAAACCTCACCCTCCACTACAGAACACACTTGGTGGACCGGCCCTATGACTGTAAGTGTGGAAAAGCCTTCGGGCAGAGCTCAGACCTCCTTAAACATCAGAGAATGCACACCGAAGAGGCACCGTATCAGTGCAAAGATTGTGGGAAGGCTTTCAGTGGGAAAGGCAGTCTCATTCGTCACTATCGGATCCACACTGGGGAGAAGCCTTATCAGTGTAACGAATGTGGGAAGAGCTTCAGTCAGCATGCGGGCCTCAGCTCCCACCAGAGACTCCACACCGGAGAGAAGCCATATAAGTGTAAGGAGTGTGGGAAAGCCTTCAACCACAGCTCAAACTTCAATAAACACCACAGAATCCACACCGGGGAAAAGCCCTACTGGTGTCATCACTGTGGAAAGACCTTCTGTAGCAAGTCAAATCTTTCCAAACATCAGCGAGTGCACACTGGAGAGGGAGAGCCGCTGTAACTGTCAAATACACTCGTGTCGTCATTGTTTTAAAGTTTAGAAAGTGAACAACAGGAAGAAGTTTTGTCATTGCAGTATTGATTCCAACGGTAGAGTTTGTATCACTCATCACCAGGGGATGCCTGAGGAGTTAGAGCTCCACAGTGACACGGTAGGCAGGAGGTCCTCAGTCGCTGTCTGGAGGTTCCACACTCACCAGTTCACTGGGACAGAGCCCCCTCCTCACAGTTAGGGTCCCAGTAAACCATGCCAGCATCACCTTTTGTATAGTTAAACTGACTTGTATCTGGTATAGTTAAGAAAGAAACATTAAGACTATTTCTGTTTTGACATATATTCAAGAATTTTCATTGGTAAAGAATTGAGCCACACTGAACACAATTGAATGAGATTCAGAATAAACTTGTAACAGTTTGTAATGCCTCAGGATTATTATTATGACAAATGATGTGTTAGTTATTGAATACAGATGGGGAGAACTATTCCTGCTGGTTTAGCTTTTAGAAAATTTGGATTTGGGGTCAGGCATGGTGGCTCATGCCTGAAATCCCAGCACTTTGGGAGGCTGAGGCGGGTGGATCACCTGAGGTCAGGAGTTCAAGACCAGCCTGGCCAATGTGGCAAAACCCCATCTCTACTAAAAATACAATTAGCCACTCATGATGGCGGGTACCTGTAGTCCCAGCTACTTGGGAGGCTGAGGAGGGAGAATCGCTTGAACTCAGGAGGCAGAGGTTGCAGTGAGCCGACACTATGCCACTGCATTCCAGTCTAGGTGACACAGCAAGACTCCAACTCAAAAAAGCAAATGCTTTCACCACATCAAGAACTGGATACCAAGAGCCAGGGGACATGTTGAACTGTTGCAGGAAGAGCACACCCCCCACAGAGGTTTTGGATGGGTTTGTGGCAGATAACCATTATCAGCTAAAACTTGTCTTTTTTATAGAAGCCACACAGGAGTGTTTTCCACATCTTCGAGGGCAGCAATAATCACTTCAGTTCCATTCAGTGCATGGTATTGTTTCTTGCCATTTTGATTGGTTGGAAGGGCAGGGTGTGAAGGAGATTCCACTTGACCCTTCTTCCTATGACCTATGCTACAGGAAAAGTAACCAGTGTGCTGGGCATCTATCCCCCTGCTAAACATACCCGAATTATCTTCTCAGGGACATGGCCATAGGCTGGGTCTCTTCCCACTGAGATGGATTTGGGCCAGGACTCCATTTATCAGCTGACCTCTGTCTGGAGGGCAATGGTAAGTTTTAGATCCGTGTCATCTTACAATCCATATCAGAAAGCCTCTTATTTTTTTGGCCGGGTATGGTGGCTCACGCTTATAATCCCAGCAGTTTGGGATGCTGAGGTGGGCGGATCATGAGGTCAGGAGTTTGAGACAAGCCTGACCAACATGGTGAAACCCTGTCTCTACTAAAAATACAAAACTAGCCGAGCATGGTGGCACACGCCTGTAATCCCAGCTACTTGGGAGGCTGAGGCAGGAGAATTGCTTGAACCTGGGCAGCAGAGATTGCAGTGAGCTGAGATTGAGCCACCACACTCCAGCCTGAGCGACAGAGTGAGACTCCATCTCAAAAAAAAAAAGCCTCAGAAGGCCTGGACATTGTTTTCCTAGTACATTAGTGAATAGCTGAAGGTCCTTTGGTGAAATATTTATTGCGTATACTTGTGGTACAATTGGAAGGTCTTCAAAGAAACCCAAACTCCTCTTAAGTTGATGGATTCTGGATCTCAGATCTGGAAAGTGGGGGAAGAAATGAAATTTCCCATTGTAACAGCTGGTATCAGCCTTCTCATCAACTTTGGGTTTTTTTTGTTTACACAAATCAAAGCCTTACTCTATTGGCTGCCTTTCCTAAGAACTCCAAGGGTTATTAGCCAATGCCACAGATCCCTGTGGATCAAGACACTCTAGTTGGCTGGGCACAGTGGCTAATGCCTGTAATCCCAGCACTTTGAGAGGCTGATGGAGGACGGTCACTTGAACCCAGGAGTTCAAGACCAGCCTGGGCAACATAGTAAGATCCCATCTTTCTTTTTTTCTTTTATTAACAATAAAAAAAATAAACCAGTCACAATGGCTCATGCCTGTAATCCCAGCACTTTGGGATTTGGGAGACTGAGGTGGGCAGATCACCTGAAGTCAGGAGTTCAAGACCAGCCTGACTAACATGGTGAACACTGTCTCTACTAAAAATACAAAAATTAGCTGGGTTCAGTGGTGGGTGTAATTCCAGCTACTTGGGAGGCTGAGGCAGGAGAATCACTTGAACCTGGGAGGCAGAGGTTGCAGTGAGCTGAGATCGTGCCACTGCATTCTAGCCTGGCTACAGAGTGAGACTCCATCTCAAAAAAAAAAAAAATCCTAGTTGCCACTCTGGCCCTGTTGCCCGTCGTGGTAATTGTGTCCACTTTACCTGTGACAGCCAAGTGCCACCACCTGGCCTCTGCTGACCAGTCCTCCCCATTAGCAAGGGAACTCTGTTCTATGGCAGAATCTCCTGCTATTAACCCTGCTGAGGCAGCTACCACTGAACGTTCCCGGTGCTCCCCTCAGTTCATCCCTTACTGTCTTGGTGAACGGAAGTTATTTGAGCCCTCTGAGATAACATAGGTGTTTGGTTCTCAGGTCTCATGTAATTCATTTTAACACACTGCGTCTGCTGACACCCTTCTCTGCTAATCATTTCAGCAGCTCTACCTCACAGTAGGCAATCATTCCTCACCAAGTATTGGGGTTTTCTTTTTTCTTTTCATAGAGATGAGGGTCTCATTATATTGCCTAGGCTAGTTTCAAACTCCTGGGCTCAAGCAGTCCTCTCATCTCAGCCTCCTGAGTAGCTGGGACTATAGGTCACGCCCAGCTCATTTTGATTTTTTAGAGAGACTAGGTCTCACTATGTTGCCCAGGCTGGTCTTGAATTCCTGAGTTCAAGTGATTCTCCTGCCTCGGCCTCCCAGAGTGTATGCCATGTATCAACTACTGCTAACATCACTTGCAAATCCCATCTCCTCTACAACCTCAACTCTGAAAACAGTATCTTTCTACTCCGTGTTTACTGAACCTGCCTGGGGCTTGATGCTGGTTAGATGGAGGAGGATGAGGAGTATTATCAAAAAAAAAAAAACTAAGATTTTGACCCTGACAGGTTTAACGAAACTTTAAGAGGTGGCAATAAATGGGAAGGAGGTATCTGGTTTGAAACATACTTTGAAACTGTAGAAAGTCCAGGTGTAATTGCCCTGCAGTTCACTGGAGAGACCCACAACTGAAGCTTGGGAGAGCCATCAGGACATGGGCAGATTTTTTTTTTTCTTCAAGATGGCGTCTTGCTCTGTCACCCAGGCTGGAGTGCAGTGGTGCAATCTTAGCTCACTGCAACCTCTGCCTCCTGGGTTCAGGCGATTCTCCTTACTCAGCCTCCCGAGTAGCTGGGATGACAGCATGCACCACTACACCCAGCTAATTTTGTATTTTTAGGACAGACAGGGTTTCACCATGTTGGCCAGGCTGGTCTCAAACTCCTTGCTTTGTAATCCACCTGTCTCGGCCTCCCAAAGTGCTGGGATTACAGACGTGAGAACACAGGCAGATATAAAACTTACTTGTATAGGCTGGGTGTAGTGGCTCACAACTGTAATCCCAACATTTTGGGAGGCTGAGGTGGATCACTTGAGGTCTGGAGTTCGAGACCATCCTGGCCAACATGGTGAAACCCCATGTCTACTAAAAATACAAAAATTGGCCAGGCACAGTGGCTCACCTCTGTAATCCCAGCACTTTGGGAACCCAAGGCAGGCAGATCACAAGGGTAGGAGTTCGAGACCAGCCTGACCAACGTGGTGAAACCCCATCCTAAAATACAGAAATTAGCTGGGCATGGTGGCATGCGCCTGTAATCCCAGCTCCTCAGGAGGCTGAGGCAGGAGAATCACTTGAACCCGGGAGGTGGAGATTGCAGCGAACCAAGATTGTACCACTACACTCAAGCCTGCGAGACAGAGTGAGATTCTGTCTCAAAAAAATAATACAAAAATTAGCCAGGCATGGTGGTGGGCGCCTGTAATCTCAGCCACTAGGAATGCTGAGGCAGGCTTGAACCCAGGAAGTGGAGGTTACAGTGAGCTGAGATTATGCCATTGCACTCCAGCCTGGGTATAGCAAGATTCCATCCCAAAACAAAAACAAAAAACTTATTTGTATAGAGGTGACAGCTGAAGGCTTGAGAGTGAAGAGATTCCACAAGTAATGGCATAGAGAAGAAGCATGCTGTTCCCACGACTGAACACTGAGGAGTAGCCAGTTAGGGACTGAGAAATGAAAAATCATGGGAAATAAGAATCTGTAGGAGACTCAGATGAGAACACTTTACAGCAGTTTGAAACTTACTTTTAAAAACAAACTTTTTTTGAGACATGGACTCCTTTTGGCCCAGGCTGGAGCAGTGGGCAGCAAAACATAATCATGGCTCACTGCAGCCTCAAACTCCTGGGCTCAAGCGATTCTCCCACCTCAGCCTCTCTAGTAGCCATGACTACAGGCGTGCACCAACACACCTAGCTAATTTTTTGTAGAGACCAGATATCACTATGTTGTCCAGGCTGGTCTCAAAATCCTGGGCTAAAGCAATCCTCCTGCCTTAGCCTCCCAAGGTGTTGGTATTACAGGCATGAGCCACCGTGGCCAGCTCACATTTGCATCTTAGGTTTTTCTATGGCTGTAAACAGCCTCCTACCAATGGTCAAACTAAGCAATTTTTATCTGCCCATTGCCACCCAACAATCAAGAACCCTGTTGTTAGGGACCTCATAACAATAAGACCTTTCTAGTTTAGGTTGCTGGTCTTTTTTTGAGACAAAAGTTTCACTCTTGTTCCTCAGGCTGGATTGCAGTGGCACAGTCTCGGTTCACTGCAACCTCTGCCTCCTGGGTTTAGGAGATTCTCCTGCCTCAGCCTTCCAAGTAGCTGGGATTACAGGCGTGCACCACTATGCCCGGCTAATTTTTGTGCTTTTTTAGTAGAGACAGGGTTTCACCATTTTGGTCAGGCTGGCTCGAACTCCTGACCTCAGGTGATCCACCCTCCTCAGCCTCCAAAAGTGCTGGGGTTATATAGGCACGAGCCACCGCACACCTATATAAGGGGAAGTGAGGAACCCTGGCCTGGGTTGCTGGTCTTAAGTGTTGCACCACACAGAATGACCTGCAGCTCATAAAATCACAAATGTGGGTATGAAGTGGGAGTGGCTGTGTAAATTTTGAGACAGTGTGTAGAAGAATCTACAGGAATATGATGCAGACCTCAGAGAAAGGTGGGGTGGTCTCATGTTCGTGACTATAAAGAATGGTTGGCCAGGTACGGTGGTTCACACCTATAATCCCAGCACTTTGGGAGGCCAAGGCAGGTGGATCATGAGGTCAGGAGTTCAAGACCAGCCCGGCCAAGATGGTGAAATCCCATCTCTACTAAAAACACAAAAATGAGTCAGACATGGTTGCAGGTGCCTATGATCCCAGCTACTCAGGAGGCTGAGGCAGAGAACTGCTTGAACCTGGGAGGCAGAGGTTGCAGTGAGCCAAGATTGCACCACTGCACTCCAGCCTGGGCAACAGAGTAAGATTCCGTCTCAGAAAAAAAAGGAATGGTTACCTATAAAGAAATTTTATTTATTTCAGACAGTTTCACTCTTGGTTGTCCAGGCTGGAGTGCAATGGCTCGATCTCCACAAGTTCAAGGGATTCTCGTGCCTCAGCCTCCCAAATAGCTGGGATTAGAGGTGTGCACCACCACACTCAGCTAATTTTTGTATTAATAATAGAGACGGGGCTGGGCACAGTGGCTCACGCCTGTAATCCCAGCACTTTGGGAGGCCGAGGCGAGTGGATCACGAGGTCAAGAAATCAAGACCATCCTGGTCAACATGGTGAAACCCCGTCTCTACTAAAAATACAAAAAATTAGCTAGTCATGGTGGCGCGTGCCTGTAATCCCAGCTACTCAGGAGGCTGAGGCAGGAGAATTGCCTGAACCCAGGAGGCGGAGGTTGTGGTGAGCCGAGATCACGCCATTGCACTCCAGCCTGGGTAACAAGAGTGAAACTCTGTCTCAAAAAAAAGAAAGAAAAATAATAGAGACGGGGTTTCACCATGTTGGCCAGGCTGGTGATCCACCTGCACCAGCCTCCCAAAGTGTTGGGATTACAGGCAAGAGCCACCGGTGCACCCAGCACTTATTTCATTTTTGAGACAGTCTTGCTCCGTCGCCCAGGCTGGAGTGCAGTGGTGCAATCACAGTGGCTCACCAGACTCACCTTCCTGGGCTCAAGCAGTCCTTTCACCTCAGCCTCCCAAGTAGCTGGGATCACAAGTGTGCAGCACCACACCCAGCTACTTTTAATTTTTTTTTTTTTGAGACGGAGTTTCGCTCTTGTTACCCAGGCTAGAGTGCAATGGCGCAATCTCGGCTCACCGCAACCTCCGCCCCCTGGGTTCAGGCAATTCTCCTGCCTCAGCCTCCCGAGTAACTGGGACTACAGGCACGCGCCACCGTGCCCAGCTAATTTTTTGTAAGTTTTAGTAGAGACGGGGTTTCACCATGTTGACCAGGATGGTCTCGATCTGTTGACCTCGTGATCCACCCGCCTCGGCCTCCCAAAGTGCTGGGATTACAGGCTTGAGCCACCGCGCCCGGCCCAATTTTTTTTTTTTAAAGATGGGGTTTCACCATGATGGCCAGGCTGGTCTTGAACTCCTGACCTCAGGTGATCCACCCACCTCGGCCTTCCAAAGTGCTAGGATTACAGGTGTGAGCCACCGCACCTGGCTTTTTATTATTATTATTAATTTACTTTAAAGATCAGCTACTTTTTTTGTGAGACGGAGTTTCGCTCTTGTTACCCAGGCTGGAGTGCAATGGCACGATCTTGGCTCACCACAACCTCCACCTCCTGGGTTCAGGCAATTCTCCTGCCTCAGCCTCCTGAGTAGCTGGGATTACAGGCACGCACCACCATGCCCAGCTAATTTTTTTGTATTTTTAGTAGAGACGGGGTTTCACCATGTTGACCAGGATGGTCTCGATCTCTTGACCTTGTGATCCACCCGCCTCGGCCTCCCAAAGTGCTGGGATTACAGGCTTGAGCCACCGCGCCAGGCCTTTTTATTTATCCAAATTGGTCCTTTATACTTTTTTTTTTTTTTTTTTTTTTTTTAGGTTTGTTGTACAGATAAGGTTTGGCCATATTGCCTAGGCTGGTCTGAAGAGATCCCACTGCCTTGGCCTCCCAAGGTGTTGGGATTGCAGGTATGAGCCACTGCACCTGGCCTATAAAGAAATTTTAGACTGGGCACAGTACCAGCACTTTGGGAGGCTGAGGCTGGCAGGTTGCTAGAGCTCAGGAGTTCAAGACCAGCTTGGGCAACATAGTGAAACCCCATCTCTACAAAAAATTAGCTGGGGGCATGGTGGCACACACCTGTAGTCCCAGCTGCTCTGGAGACTGAGACACAAGAATTGCTTGAATCCAGAAGGCAGAGGCAGCAGTGAGCCAAAATCATGCCACTGCACTCCAGGCTGGGCAAGACAGCAAGACTCTTGTCTCAAGAAAAAAAAAAATTTTTAAGTCAACTTTCAGATTCCATTTATAGTCACCAACATGTCTTGTTTTAACTGAAATGTTTGATCCAAACACTACACAGAACCACACTCAATCTCTCCTGAAAAACTATTCTGTTTAATAGTGCACTTCATTTATGCTACAGGATGAGCAGGGTTGGGAAAACAATGAAGGTCATCCTGTCAGTTGGGAAAACTCAGGGAGCACCATCCTCACCCAGCAAGGAGCTCTGCCACCAGGCTTGGGCACAGCCTGCCTTCTCTGGGCTTCACTTTTTTTTTTCCTTCCTTTTGGGCTTTGCTCTTTATCTGCATTAATCTTCAGCTGCTGAAGAATCAAGAGATGGAGGCAGGAGCAGTCCAGCTACTGGGGCCAGATGGTAGAGGTGAGAGGGCAGGGCAGCCAGGCTGAGTAAGGTCCTTGAAAGCATCCTTAACCAAGCATTTAGAGAAAATCACTTTCATCATAGGAGTGGAAAGAAGACAGGAGAGGACAGGAATCAGAGGCCAATGCTATGTGCTTCTGACCTTTTCCCTCATAGCCGGTTACTAGCTGCTTGGATAGATTTGCCCAGTCAGCCCCATGACAACTGGGCTGGGCCGGGGTGGGGTCTGCCAGCAATATCACCAGGTTTCTCTTAGAAACATGGTCTGGCTGCTCTAAGAGCCTTAAAAGACACCATCATCACAGAAGATGTTTCTGGAATCTTCTACCCTCTATAAAAATCCCTCGATGACAAATTTCCATAATGAAATCATGAAACAAAACAGCATGTCCCTTATCAAAACTTAAAGCTGGACTAGGAACAGTAGCTTTGAAATACAGCCTCCCTTTTCCCTCCCTAGCAAATAACAGGACCCAGAGCGTCCTTTCCACTGCTGGCTGTGGGGACTAGATGGACTCCCAACTAAAGGAATCCATGGAATTCTGTCCCAACTGTGCTTCCATCCCCACCTTGGAAAGGTTCCTCTGCTGTGAGGAAAAAAGGGTTTAGTGCAAACTCCTTTCCTAAATGGGGTGACTGGTCCCAGAGCTGCTTTCTATTCCCAGCACGCCATCTGCCTGCCTCGTCACTTTCCAAGGCTGGTGCAATTTCTGGGAAAATTCACTGATTTGCCCAGTCGGCCCCATTCTCTAAAGTGAAAGGTCTGAGTTGGAAGGGACACATCCTAAGCTGTTGAGATTTATAGAATAAGGCAAGAGCTCTTGAGACTCAGGGGAAGTGAGGAAAATGGGTGTGTGGCTCTTTCACGTGGACTCTCTGATATTTAACTCAGTTGTAACTCTGAGGGAGCTTTTGCTCATGCCCATCCCATTCAAAGGCTTTTCTCCAGTGTGAATTCTCTGATGGCGAACAAGAGCTGAGCTGTACCTGAAGGCTTTGCCACACTCGCTACATTCATAGGGGTTCTCCCCGGTGTGGATTCTTTGATGCTGAATAAGGCCTGAACTGTAGGTAAACTTTCCTCCGCATTCCATACATTCGTAGGGCTTCTCTCCAGTGTGGATTCTCTGGTGCTGATAGAGGTGTGAGCTCTGGCTGAAGGCCTTCCCACACTCATTACATTCATAGGGTTTTTCTCCAGTGTGGATTCTCTGATGGTGAATAAGGGTGGAGCTCCTGCTGAAGGCCTTCCCACATTCATTACAGGCATAGGGTTTCTCGCCAGTGTGGATTCTCTGATGGTGGGTGAGGGTGGAACTCCAGCTGAAGGTCTTCCCACACTCATTACATTCATAGGGTTTCTCCCCTGTGTGGATCCTCCGATGCAGAATGAGGGCAGAGCTACAACTGAAGGTTTTCCCACAATCACTGCATTCATAAGGTTTCTCCCCAGTGTGTATTCTCTGATGCTGAATAAGGTGTGAGCTCTGGCTGAAGGCCTTTCCACACTCATTACATTCATAGGGCTTTTCCCCGGTGTGGATTCTCTGATGCTGAATAAGGTCTGAAGTTCGATTAAAGCCCTTGCTACATTCATCACACTTATGGGGTCTGTCTCCCACAGGAAGTCTCTGATGCGAGATAAGGTTGGAATTCACAGTGAAGCTGTTCCCAAAATCATTGTATTTCTCGCTTCTCTCTCCCATGGGGGTTAGCTTCTCAACTGTCACTTGGCCAAAATCTTGCATTTTCCTGTTCAGTCTTTCTCCAGGGGAGTTCCCCAGCGGCCTCTTTAGACTGACCTCTCGTTCATAGGCTTCTTTAAACTTAAGACCCTGAGAAATATCCTTTTGAAATCTTCCCAGCAGGACCCCATGTGATCTTGTGTCTTCAGAAACTGCTTGATCATTTTCAGTTCTGGTCTCACCATCTGACATAATAAAAAATGCAAATGTCACTTGTTCCTTGGGGAAGAAAGAGGGAAAATCACAGGACAGGATCATCATAATGAATACTTATAGTGCCAAAAGCACATACCTGCAGAGGCCTCATGTGCACACCTAAGGCAAAATGAGACATCCAGTCTAAGGAGACAGGCAAGGGGCAGGGCAGAGAGCAGAACCAAGGAGAACCAAGGAGACCTGGGAGTAGAGAGGAAGCTGAGTGTGTGTGAAGGGGAGGACAGATCAGGCAGAGAGGTAGGAAACCAACATTAGAAGAGGAAGGTCATATTGCTTAATGAAGTGACAAAGCCTTTAGAGAGGTCAAGGACAGTGGATGTAACTGGGGACACAGTGACTGCAAGAAGGGAGAACAAATACAGGACAGACTGAGGAAAGTGGGGAAGGGTGAGGAAAGACAGCAGCAGGTGGGAAGGAGTAAGGGGGAGGATGCTAGTCACCAACATGGCCCCATAAGAGCAATCATGGCTGTCATTATGCCACAAATGCCAAGCCCATGGAAACGGCAAGACGGCTGAGTCCACCTCTGGGCCCTATGCATAAAAAGGCTATGCTCACACGTGAGGCTATGCAAAGAGTCTCAGTGTCTGACTTCTCTGTTTTTGCTCCTCTGGAGTTTCTAAAGGCAACTCTGGGCACAGAGGATACATGTAAAGGGTCCAGAGAGTTTGCCTATTTTTTTTTTTTTTTTTTGAGATGGAGTCTTGCTCTGTTGCCCAGGCTGGAGTACAGTGGCATGATCTCAGCTCACCCCAACCTCTGCCTCCCAGGTTCAAGTGATTCTCCTTCCTCAGCTTCCTGAGTAGCTGGGATTACAGGTACACACCACCATGCCCAGCTAATTTTTGTATTTTAGTAGAGATGGGGTTTCACCATGTTGGTCAGGCTGGACTCAAACTCCTGACCTGCCTTGGCCTCCTAAAAGTGCTGGGATTACAGGTGTGAGCCACTACGCCCAGCCGCCTTTTTAGTTTAATTGATATTGTAAAGAGTAAAGACAGGGCAATGTGTGTTAGGGACAGGAACAGCTGTTTCTCCCTCACCTGAACAGGTACCTCTTAGGACCTCTCTGCTCTCAGTTCCCTTCAAACCCAGGCCCCTTGGCTCTTCCTCTCACTCTAGCAGAGAGATGGTGGCAGGATTCAGAAATGGGAATCCTGCTCATGGGGAGAGACATGGGAGAAGGAGGTTTATCTGCTCACCTTGAGAGTCCCAGATCTGCAGAGGACAGAGGGAAATGTACAGGGAGGTCTCAAATGACAGGAAGGCCTCCTGGCTCTGGTCAAGAAAATGCCCACTAAGACTGGGGTGAGAAACAAGGAATTCCACATCCTAAGAGTTAAGAAGCTAATTTCTCTTTATTTATTTATTTATTTATTTATTTTTTTTAAGACAGAGGTTTGCTCTGTTGCCAGGCGCCAGGCTGGAGTGTAGTGGCGTGATCTCAGCACACTGCAACCTCCGCCTCCCAGGTTCAAGCAATTCTCCTGCCTCAGCCTCCCGAGTAGCTGGGATTACAGGCACACACCACCACGCCCAGTTAATTTTTGTATTTTTAGTAGACATGGGGTTTCACCATGTTGGCCAGGATGGTCTCAATCTCTTGACTCCATGATCTGCCTGCCTCAGCCTCCCAAAGTGCTGGGATTACAGGCGTGAGCCACTGTGCCTAGCCAAGAAGCTAATTTCTTAACTTTCTTTTTTTTTTTTCATTTTTGAGACAGGGTCTCACTGTCACCCAGGCTGGAGTGCAGTGGCTTGTTCTTGACTCACTGCAACCTCCACCTCCCAGGTTCAAGCAATTCTCCTGCCTCAGCCTCTCAAGTAGTTGTGATTACAGGCATGCACCACCACGCCCAACTAAGTTTTTTGTATTTTTAGTAGAGACTGGGTTTCAACATGTTGACCAGGGTGGTCTCCAACTCCTGACCTCAGGTGACCTGCCCACCTCGGCCTCCCAAAGTGCTGGGATTACAGGCATGAGCCACCGCACCCAGCCTAATTTCTTAACCTTTCTAAGTTTCTACAGAGCAGCAGGGGCACTAGGTCCCTAGAAGTGACCAGCAGAGAAGGGGAGGACAGAGACATGGGCACAGAGCAGTACCTCACGTGTTCAGGGATCACAACACACTCATCCTTTGGAAAAGTCTGTGGATTATATATTAAGTCCTAGGAATAACATGGAAGAAGTACCAGATTCGGAGTTAAAGACTGGGCCCCAAGTTTTGCCACTCATCAGCCCAAAGACCATGCATGCACAAGGCATTAAGACCTCTACCCTCACCTCCACTTTACTTACTTTTTTTTCAGACAGGGTCGGTTTGTGTCACCCAGGCTGGAGTACAGTGGTGCAATCTCAGCTCACTGCAACCTCTGCTTCCTGGGCTCAAGTGATTCTCCCACCTCAGCCTCCCAAGTAGCTGGGACTATAGGCATGTGCCAACATGTCTAGCTAATTTTTTGGATATTTGGTAGAGACAGGGTCTCAGCATGTTGCCCAGGCTGGTCTTGAACTCCTGACCTCACGTGATCTTCCTGCCTTGGCCTCCTAGAATGCTGGGATTACAGGTGTGAGCCACCTCACCTGGCCTACTTTTACTTTCCTTACCTGTAAAATGAGGAATAATACTAGCTGCCTCATTACTGTATTACTGTGAAGATTAAAGAAAGTATATGAGAACTCTTTATAAGTTGCAAACTGCTGTATAAATGAATTAAGATTGTTCTTAGAATTTTCTGAGACTAAGTCAGTCCTTAGCTAGGCCAGGCATGGTGGCTCATGCTTATAATCCCAGCACTTTGGGAGGCCAAGGCAGGTGGATCATTTGAGGTTAGGAGTTCGAGACCAGCCTGGCCAACATGGTGAAACCCTATCTCTACTAAAAAAAAAAATACAAAAATTAGCCAGGTGTGATGGTGCAGGCCTGTAGTGCCCGCTACTTGGAAGGCAGAGGTGAGATAATCACTTGAACCTGGGAGGTGGATATTGCAGTGAGCCAAGATCATGCCATTGCATCTCAAAAAAAAAATCTGCTGCAACAGTCAGTTGTTTTCAGGGACTAGATTGTTACTAGCAAACAAAGAAGCAAAGAAACACCAGTGAATTTTGTTGAGGAGGCACAACTACTTACCCAGTGAGAACACATTCCCGTAATTCTCCAGCATCACATCTCTATAGAGGTCCCTCTGAGCAGGTTCCAAACGTTTCCACTCCTTCCGGATGAAGTACACAGCTACATCCTCAAATGTTACCAGCTCCTGAAACAACATGTGCTAGCATGCAGTTTCAGGGTGAGGAATGTGAATAGCAGCACCAAAAAAATATCACTGAGGATAGGGCTGAAGAATGCGCATTTGGGAAGGGAGAGAAGGAGGGCAGGATGGGGGAAGATACAAGACTCCATGATGGAAGGTGAGGGTTCACGATTCAGCAGGACAGAACCATGGGCCTGATGGAGGAGATCAGGGTTTAAGGCTCTGAATGAGATGTCACTGCACAGAAAATGGAAAAGAAAAGGATAATGGGAAACAAAGCTCACCTGGGACTTGGCCTTTAGGAGTGCAGCTGCCAACATCTCATCCCCCAGGCTGTCCTTGTCAGAAAAGGCAGGAACTTTTGAAGGAAGAGCTTGAAGGGCAATAAAAGGGCCAAGGAGTGAATTCATCTGCTGTGTAACCTCCCAACCTGCTGACTTCCCAACCCACAGAAAGCTCCAGGGGTCCTGGGACAACATGGGACACACACTCTCACATTTCTAAGTTTGTCTCTGCAGCTAGCAAAGGTGTGTCCAACAGAGGCACAGTCAGAGCGGGTCCATCCTGCCTGAGCAGATGGCCACAGGCCTGGTCATTCTTGGTCTCCAGTCTGCCCCGGGTCTCCTCTTCTCTCTCCAGTCACTCTTTTCTCAATGAAACTGCCCAGTCTTATCTTAGTTATTACTGCATTCTTGTCCATTCACCCAAGCGTGGCCAGAAACATATGATCCTGCTCTTGCATCAAGTTGTTTTTTTTTAAGATGTGTTTTCTATGTTGCCCAGGCTGGTCTTGAACTCCTGAGCTCAAGTGATCCTCCCACCTGAGCCTCCCAAGTAGCTGGGATTATAGCATGCGCCACTGCACCCAGCATAAAGTTCTTAGACCAGAGAAAAACCAGCAGCTCCTCCCCAGCCCTGACTGAAAAAACAATGTCCACAGCTCCTTTCTCTCCACCCCAGATCAAATCTACACACTTACAAATGTTTCCTGTTTCTGTGTTGGATCTCTTATTATTTTTTTTTTCTTGAGACAGAGTCTCCCTCTGTCGCCCAGGCTGGAGTGCAGTGGTGCTATCTCAGCTCACTGCATTCTCTACCTCCCGGGTTCAAGCAGTTCTCCTGCCTCAGCCTCCCAAGTAGCTGTGATTACAGACATCTGCCAACATGCCCAGCTAATTTTTGTATTTTTAGTAGAGATGGGGTTCCACCATGTTGGCTAGGCTGGTCTTGAACTCCTGACCTCAAGGGATCCACCTACCCTGGCCTCACAAAGTGCTGGAATTACATACCCTTTTTCTGCAATTCTCAAGTTGACATATTCATCTCTTAGAGACTCTAGAGTCCAGGCATGGTGGTTCACACCTATAATCCTAGCACTTAGGGAGGCTGAGATGAGCAGACTGCCTGAGCTCAGGAGTTTGAGACCAGCCTGGGCAACATAGCGAAACCCCATCTCTACTAAAAATACAAAAAATTAGCCGGCATGGTGGTGTACACCTGTAGTACCAGCTACTCAAGAGGCTGAGGAAGGAGAATCGCCTGAACCCAGGAGGTGGAGGTTGCAGTGAGTGAAGATTGTGCCACTGCACTCCAGCCTGGGCAACAGGACGAGACTCTGTCTCCAAAACAAAAAAAAAAAAAAAAAGAGAGAGAGAGACCTCTAAACCCCAGAGATACTAGACCTGCCGAGTCACCAAACAAAAGGACCTTAAATGCTTTCTTCTAATAAGCATGGGAACAACATCCATTAAGACTGAAACTGGCTCCTAAATCGGTGACACCCTATGAAAGCAAAATATGTTTTACTGGCTTCCTATTTACTCTTTTTGCCTATGACCTACAAAATCAATCCCAAGGGCTTCCTCTAAAAGCATGCTCCTAAAAAACACAAACTATGCCTATTAAGTCAGCTACACAGAATGCCTGAAAAATGGAATGACTGACACAGTTTCCTTAATCTCATGTGAGGTGCTCACAACCCTTCAAAATTGCCCCAGTGGCCAGATGCAGTAGCTCACGCTGCTCACACCTGTAATCCCAGAACTCTGGGAGGCCAAGGTGGGCACTGAGGTCAGGGTTCAAGACCAGCCTGGCAGCCTGGCCAACATGGTGAAACTCCATCTCTACAAAAATACAAAAATTAGCTGGGTGTGGTGGCGTGCACCTGTAGTCCCAGCTACATAGGAGGCTGAGGAGGGAGAATTGCTTGAACCCAGGAGGCGGAGGTTGCAGTGAGCAGAAATCATACCACTGCACTCCAGCCTAGGCAACAGAGCAAGACTCCGGTCTCCAAAAAAAAAAGAAAAAATGGCTGGTCACGGTGGCTCACGCCTATAATCCCAGCACTTCAGGAGGCTGAGCAGGGTTAATCATGAGGAGTTTGAGACCAGCCTGGCCAATGTGGTGAAACTCCATCTCTAGTAAAAGTACAAAAATTAGCCAGGCATGGTGGCACATGCCTGTAGTCTCAGTTACTCAGGAGGCTGAGACAGAATTGCTTGAACCCAGGAGTCAGAGGTTGCAGTGAGCCAAGATCACACCACTGTACTGGCAACAGAGCAAGACTCCATCTCAAAAAAAAAAAAAATCTGCCTCAGTTATCAAACCTATCAAGCTGTCATTGATTACTGTTCGGTCAGCTTCCTCATTAGGCTGTGAGTTACTGAATGGCAAATAGTGTGTCTTATTCCCATCTGGATTCTAGTAGATTCTAGTAGTTAGCCTAATACCTGGTGAATGAGCAATTTTTCAATGGATGATTGTTGAATGGCTAACAGAATAAATGAATCCCTATTCCTCACCACTCTCAAGCAGGGCCTGAGGTTCCTGAGATACGAGATCGGCCTGAGTTTCCATGGGAAGGGCAAGGTGCTCTCTGGTCTCCTAGGTGCAGATTCAGCGGAAAGCAGGTTTTGAAGGAGAATGAGGAAGCACTGCAGAAGCAAAAGTTCAAGGTTCAAAGATAATTCAAAAATAACCTCCTGAATACAGAAAGATGGGAGCTAGCATTTCAGTGAGTACCTAGGAACAGTGACAAGAAATGCAGCCACTGGGACTAGTCTTCTATTTTATTTATTTTTTAAAATCGTTTTTTGAGAAGGAGTTTCACTCTTGTCGCCCAGGCTGGAGTGCAATGGCATGATCTTGGCTCACTGCAACCTCTGCCTTCCAGGTTCAAGTGATTCTCCTGCCTCAGACTCCCAAGTAGTTGGGATTACAGGCACATACCACCATGCCCAGCTAATTTTTGTATTTTTAGTAGAGACGGGATTTCACCATGTTGGCCAGGCTGGTCTTGAACTCCTTACCTCAAGTGATCAGCTGACCCCAGCCTCCTCAAATCCTGGGATTACAGGCGTGAACCACCACACCCAGCCTCGGACTAGTTTTTTAGATCCTGGTAAATATACTCCCTGGAATGAGACTACCACCAGGACCAAGTTCCTCAACAGTACCCCACCCAGCTTTGGCTGCCCCCCTAATGTAATATAACAAAAAGCAAGAGTGGGTGTATACATGCACTGGCATAAAAAGCACAAACTATGCCTATGAAGTCAGCTGCATAGAATGCCTGAAAAATGAAATAACCAACACAGTTTCATTAATCTTGCATGAGGTGCTCATGCCTGTAATCCCAGCACTTTGGGAGGCCAAGGCGGGTGGATGGCTTCAGGTCAGGAGTTCGAGACCAGCCTGGGCAACGTGGCGAAACCTCATCTCTACAAAAAATACAAAAATTAGCCAGATGTGGTGGTACACATCTGTGGTCTAAGCCACTCAGGAGGCTGAGGTGGGAGGATCACCTGAGTTCAGGAGGTCAAGGCCACATTGAGCCATGATCTTGCCACTGCACTCTACCTGGGTCTGGACCCAGTTGCTGTATTTCCTCTCACTCAGAAGGCAGTAGCCTTCTTATCTCCCTTTTCTCATAAGATAGTTCCTTGGATCAGAATGTTAAGTCCCTGAAGCAGGGACGGATATATATTTTTTTTTAATTTTTGAGACAGAGTCTCGCTCTGTCGCCCAGGCTGGAGTGCAGTGGCATGATCTCAGCTTACTGCAACCTCCGCCTCCCAGGTTCAAGTGATGCTCCTGCCTCAGCCTTGAATTACAGGCGTACGCCACCACGCCCAGCTAATTTTTGTATTTTTAGTAGAGACGGGGTTTCACCATGTTGGTCAGGCTGATCTCAAACTCCTGACCTCGTGATCTGCCTGCCTTGGCCTCCCAAAGTGCTGGGATTACAGGCGTGAGCCACCAAGACCGGCCCAGCTACATTTTTTCAAACATAAGAGTCTTTTTTTTTCACCACACAAATTACCAAAAATGAGGTTCTTTATTACCGTTTTTATTTCTACTAATGTCTCCACTCCCCAGTTACTACCATAATCAAAAGAGGCCTGTTCTCTGTGGCTTAGTGGATAAAATGTAATATTAGTACTTAGAATAAGACTTGGATCTCAAGTACAAGTTTCTACTTCACACCTGAATGCTGGAGCAAGAATGTCCTATGGCTGGGCAAGAGTGTATGAAAAAAAAAACGGGCCAGACGCGGTGGCTCACCCCTGTAATCCCAGCACTTTGGGAGACCAGCCTGGCCAACATAGTGAAACTTGGCCTCTACCAAAAATAAAAAAAATTAGCCAGGCATGGTGGCATGTGCCTGTAATCCCACCTACTTAGGAGGCTGAGGCAGGAGAATCATTGGAACCCGGGAAGCAGAGGTTCCAGTGAGCCGAGATCGCGCCACTGCACTCCAGCCTGGGCAACAGAGCAAGACTCCATCTCAAAAAAAAAACAAAAAACAAAAAAACCTGGATTTTATCTACCTTTCTTTATCTGTTTACTCATTTGCTCAAATACCAAATGTTTGTTGAGTGCTAACTCTATTGCAAAGCACAATTGCAAGGAGTGAAAAAAAAAATCAGGAATACAAAAAGTATTTGCTTCGTAATTACAGACTGTTACACTCACATAAAGCATCAAAGGAAGAGGGTTAGATAGGAGAATGTTTGAGAGAATACAAGAAAAAAAAGAACAAAGGAAGAGGGGCTGTGTTTGAGAGTCAACTGCAACTTTGCAGAACTCTGGTCTTCAGGTAGCAGGGGATAGAGTGCCCAGTATCAGTGCCCTTACACAGTGGAAAGCACTGACTCAGGTACAAGCCAGGCCACTGGCAACCAAAGTGACACACCTTCTTGTCACCATCGCCCTCCCGGCAGGGTCCCTTCAATGGTGTCTCAGAGCCAACCACCATACCCTCTTATCAACCACCTTTACAATCTCTGGGGTTATTTATGAGCTGACACCCTCAACAAGTAAGCTTTCAGTACAAACTCCTAGAAAGGCAGGTCAAAAGTCTGAATCCAGAGAAAAAGGCAATGCTCCCTCTCACAGCTGGGTTAAGCAAAGCTGGAAAACTCAAAGGCATATTGTTGAGAACAAGTACCCAGTGTCCAGATCAGTAAACAGTGTTCCTCACAGAAAGAAGACTCTCCATTGTGCCCGCATGGCTTCATGTCCAGGCCGGACCCTTCCCCTGCTCTGTTGTCAGCCTCTCTCCCTGGAGGTGCCCCTAGGGACTGAGACAGATGGCCTGGCAGTGAGAATGAGCCACAGAAAGCATTACCTGCCTGATTCTTTCCTTTCTTCTTTGAAGGCCAAAGGAGCAATTACTGGCAATTTAGCAGCTTCTGTTCGAGTTCCTGGGAATTCTGACTTTTGTCGATGCCAAAGCTGTATGATGAAGGGGAAAAAAAGGAATTTAAAATATTCATGCAAACGTCTTTTTTTTTTTTTTTTTTTTTTTTAATTTTAGACAGGGTCTTATTATGCTGCTCAGGCTGGAGCGCAGTGAGTTTGAGCTCACTCCAGCCTCAAATGCCTGAGCTCAAGCAGTCCTCCCATCTCAGCCTCCCAAGTAGCTAGGACTAAAGGTGTGTACCACCACATCTGCCTGAGTTTTTAAAGCTCTTTTTGTAGAAATAGGGCCTTGCTATATGCCCAGGCTGGTCTCAATCTCCTGGCCTCAAGTGATCCTCCTGCCTCAGCCTCCAAAAGTGCTGGCAATACAGGCGTGAGTCACCGAGTCCAGCCTAAACTTCATTTCTAATCAAGATATTTAGAGAAAAGGAAAAAAAGATAGAATACTTATTATATGCTATTAAACACCAGTTAAGACAACCACAACTGGTATTTGCGTTGTACCTGTGGAGAGAGATGAACGGGAATGGTAGGTTCTCAGATCCACCTCCACCCAGGGTGAGAAAGTTCTAACGTTCTGGCCAGGCACAGTGGCTCACACCTGTAATCCCAGCACTTTGGGAGGCCGAGACAGGCAGATCACCTGAGGTCAGGAGTTCAAGACCAGCCTGACCAACATGGAGAAACCCCATCTCGATTAAAAATACAAAATTAGGCCAGGAGCCTAAAAATTAGGTGGCTCATGCCTGTAATCCCAGCATTTTGGGAGGCCAAGGCAGGCGGATCACAAGGTCAGGAGATAAAGACCATCCTGGCCAACATGGTGAAACCCTGTCTCTACTTCAAATATAAAACTTAGCTGGGCATGGTGGGGCATGCCTATAGTCCCAGCTACTCAGGAGGCTGAGGCAGGAGAATTGCTCGAACTCAGGAGGCAGAGGCTGCAGTGAGCCGAGATTGTGCCACTGCACTCCAGCCTGGGTGAAAGAGTGAGACTCTGCCTCAAAAAAAAAAAAAAAAAAAAAAATTGGCATGGTGGTGCATGCCTGTGATCCCGGCTACTCAGGAGGCTGAGGCAGGAGAATCGCTTGAACCCAGGAGGCAGAGGTTGAGAGGCTGTGGTGAAATGAGATCACACTACTGCACTCTAACCTGGGCAACAAGTGTGAAACTCCATCTCAAAAAAAAAAAAAGTTCTAACATTCTGTCAGCTAATTTGCTAGACACCACTCCCACTACTTCAGCAGGGAGTATGCTCCAAGTTGCACAGCTAAGCCATTAAGCCATTAGAGGTCTTCAGGTGATTCACTGAAAATCTATTTCCTTGGACCTTCACCTCACAGAGACCTAGTGTGTCACGGAAATTCAATGACTGGCCACGTGCAGTGGCTCACGCCTGTAATCCCAGCACTTCAGGAGGCTAAGGTGGGAGGATTACTTGAGCCCAGGAGTTCGAGACCACAGTGAGCTATGATGACACCACTGCACTCCAGCTGGAGCAACAGATTGAGACTTTAATATACAAAAATTTTTAAAGGAGAGGGGAAAAAAGGCCAACTGTGGTGGCTAACACCTGTAGCCTGTAATCCCAACACTTTGGGAGGCCAAGACAGGTGGATCACCTGAGGTCACGAGTTCAAGACCACCCTGGCCAACATGGCAAAACCCCATCTCTACTAAAAGTATGAAAAAATTAGCCCGGGTGTGGTGGCTGGTGCCTGTGGTCCCAGCCACTCCAGAGGCTGAAGGAGACAACACCTAAACCGGGGAGCCGGAGGTTGCAGTGAGCCGAGATAGTGCCACTGCACTCCAGAGCTAGACTCTCAAAAATAAAAATTATTTTTTTTAAAAAGAGCTTCAATAACAGAATCTTCTCCTTATACCCGACTGTCCATTAAACACGTATAATCAAATGATGCCCACTCTCCACAGATGTCTTTTCTGGAGAAAATAATACGCTTAGTTCCTCTAATTAGTCCATCGATTTCAGGCTCATCACCCTGCTATCCTCTCCCGGAGTTTACACAAGCCCTTCAGAGTGTAAACACCGATGTGGATTCAATCCCACTTCTGAAGTAAATCAAACCAGGAATCTAATGCAACTGAAAACGGAGCCTGAGCCAGGTGTATCACTGGATGCACTAGGCTCCAGAGGCATTACCCCCGGAATCGGAGTCTGCACCCCCTCCCAGCCCTCAGCCCTCGTTCTAACTCCGTACGCTTCGCAGAACTACTACGCTGATCCTTGGACCCAGCTCTGTAAAAATAAACTTCCTCTCTTGCGACGGGCGCGAATAACCGTGTTAACGTCAGATAAAAACGTCTGGGAGAAGTACCAAGTTAGGGTCGCTGTCATCAGCTGCTATCGAGACAGGCGCCCCTACCGTAGCTCTGCTCAAACTTTTAAACGCTCCAGCTGGGGCGCCGTTTAAGTCACAAAATCAGAACCGGAGCCCCATTTCTACCCCCCATGCAGGGTCCCGCTAGGCTTGGGGAGATCCCTGGGGAAGCGAAGTAGAGGACAGGCTGCAGGGGACGGAGGGACACCTCCCCAAATCCTGCTCCGGGCCGGCCTGGGGATCCCACGGGCCGCAGTGGCACAGACACCACCCCTTTCCCCGGCGACCACAGCCTCCGTCTCACCGCGAGCCCCGGGGACGCCCGGACTCACCCTGGGGGTCAGGGACGAGAAATGTGGGGGGCCGGACACGGACCAGGCCCTGTTGGACTCTGTCACAGACCCACACACCGGGGACAGAACAAAGAACGGAAGTTCCCCCTCGTTTCGCTTCCGGGTTGGTTGTTCTTGCCACTCACCCGCGCCCCTAACGCCCACTTGTTCTGTCTAGGAAAATGGGAGGTCCTCGCTTCTCCGTGGTTTGCTGACTCAGGGCGGCTGGCAGGCGGTGAGGGAAAGGAGTCCGATCGCTGCCGCGGCACTCGGGGATCTTTAGCCGCGGGGTTGGCCGGCTGCGCCGCCTGCTGGCCGCGCAGGCACGAAAACGGCCGACCACGGTCCTGGGCCTCAGGACGCATGCTCGGGCACCGCCGGCCATCGGGGCGGGCGGCGGGGGCGAGCGGAAACGTCGAGCCCGCGCTCGTCAGGCTGTCTTGCAAAGAGCAGCTGCAAACGCACAGTTCTTGACGGATTCATCGATATTAAAAAATTGATCCTTATTCAAAACTTGCTTCCGAACAAACCGATTTTTTGTTGGTTTATTGTAAAAATGCCCCCTTTAAATTACCCACATCTGAAGTAAACATTCCAGCCCATCAGAGTTGACTTGAGGACAAAACCCATGTACAGGTGATGAGAGCAGAGAAGAGTAAGCTACCGGCGGGGCGCGGTGGCTCACGCCTATAATCCCAGCACTTTGGAAGGCCAAGGTGGGCGGATCACTTGAGGTCAGGAGTTTGAGACCAGCCTGGCCAACATGGCGAAACCCCATCTCTACTAAAAATACAAAACAATTAGCCAGGCGTGGTGGCGGGTGCCTGTAATCCCAGCTACTCTGCAGGCTGACATAGGAGAATTGCTTGAACCTGGGAGGTGGAGGTTGCAGTGAGCCGAAATCGCGGCCACTACACTCCAGCCTGGGCGACAGTGTTGAGACTCTGTCTCAAAAAAAAAAGGAAGCGAGGCGGGATAGTCAAGAAAGTGACCCCGTCCTGGGGACTCGGCAACCGTGGTGACCGCACAGTCAACACAGTAAGCCCTAGTATTCTTACAGTAACTGCGCTCATTCAAGAAGAGCGCTCTCCAGTTGGTACTTTCCCTGTAGGGAGCATGCGCATTTTTATTTCACCTGTCCTCAAAGTGACCCTTTGCTCTTTACCATAGTAAAAAACACGCCTGTGGGTGGAGATTTAAAATGCTAATGAAACATGCAATGTATGAGCAAGCCTGTACAGTCACTGCACATGTGCACCTAGAGGAGCACCCACAGCTCCCATCTCTTATGTAAGACCCACCTCCCGCAAAGTGGTCTCTCTAGAGCCAGCCTTTGCTGTTTCATCCTTAGGAGCAGCCCTCCCTGAACTCTCTCTCTCAGGGTGTACTGTCTACTCTGCACTTAACTTTCAAAATATTATTTTCCTTTTGCAATAGATTACTCTATGCCACATTTCCTTTGTCGTGTTTCTTTTGTTCTTTTTTCTCTTTTTGTGTCTTTGTTGCTGTTGTTGAGACAGAGTCTTTCTTTTGTCCCCCAGGCTGGAGTGCAGTGGGGCAATCTCGGCTCACTGCAACCTCTGCTTCTCAGGTTCAAGCAATTCTGCTTCAGCCTCCCAAGTAGCTGGGACTACAGGCGTGCAACACCACACCTGGCTAATGTTTTTGTATTTTTAGTAGAGAGGATTTCACCTTGTTGGTCAGGCTGATCTCAAACTCCTGACCTCAAATGATCTGCCCGCCTCAATCTTGCAAAGTGCTGGGATTACAGGTGTGAGCCACCATGCCTGACTTCCTGTGTGTTTCTTGTTTAAATTTTTTTTTCTTTTGAGATGGGGGTCTTACTCTGTCTCCCAGGCTGGAGTGCAGTGGCATGATCTCAGCTCACTGCAACCTCCACCTCACAGGCTCAAAAAATTCTCCCACCTCAGCCTCCCAAGTAGCTGGAACCCCAGATGCATGCCACCACACCCAGCTATTTTTTTTTGTAGAGACAGGGTTTCAACATGTTGCCCAGACTGATCTTGAACTCCTGAGCTCAAGAGATCCGCCCATCTTTAACCCCCTAAAGTGTTGGGATTACAGGCGAGCCACTGCACCTGGCCTTAAATTTTTTTAAACTAAGAGATAAGAACTGAGGTATCACAACAGCCACCAATAAAAGGAAAGCTTTCCTTCTGTTCATGCTTTCCTCTGCCTTCCTCAACATGTGAAGTCTTTTCTTTTTTAGAGACAGGGTCTCACTCTGTCACCCAGGCTGGAGTACAGTGGTGCTCATACCTCACTGCAGCCTCAACCTCCTGGGCTCTAATGATCCTCCCTCCTCAGCCTCCAGAGTAGCTGGGACCACAGGCACGCACCATCATGCCTGGCTTCCTTTCTGTTTTGTAGACTGGATACTGCCAGTTCATGAATCCCAAATAAAGCCAACTCAATCTTTAAAATTCAAGTTGTTGGCCGGGTGCAGTGGCTCACGTCTCTAATCTGAACACTTCGAGAGGCCAAGGTGGGTGAATCACCGGAGGTCAGGAGTTTGAGACCAGCCTGGCCAACATGGCAAAACCCCGTCTCTACTAAAAATACAAAAACAAAAATTAGCCGAGTGTGGTGGCAGGCCCCTGTAATCCCAGCTATTTGTGAGACTGAGGTGGGAGAATGGCTTGAACCCCGGAGGTGGAGGTTGCAGTGAGCCAAGATCGCACCACTGCACTCCAGCCTGGGTGTGACGGAGTGATACCCTATCTCAAAGAAAAAAAATATATATATATATATATACACACACACACACACACACACACACACCCCAAAGTATATTTATGGTCTGTTTCCTACAACTAGAGTGCAAGCTCTATGAGGTCAGGACTTTGTTCAGCGCTGTAGCCCCAGCACCTGGACTTATACCTGCTGCCTGGTAGGCACTCCTAAATATTTGTGAAATTAATGACTGATGAGTGAATAGATAACATAACCACTGACCCACGCTAAAAAGGGACACTTTTTTTTGTGGGGTGGGGGGATTTTTTTGGTTTGTTTTGAAAGAAACAAACATGGCGAAACTGTCTCTAAAAAAAAATACAAAGTTCAGCCTGGCATGGTGGCATGCATCTGTAGTCTCAGCTACTCAGGAGGCTGAGATGGGACAGTCACTTGAAGGCTGAAGGTGCACTGAATTGTGATTATAATTCTGCACTCCAGCCTGAGTGACAGAAAAAGACTGTCTCAAAAACAACAACAAAAGAAAAACAAAAAACATTTAGCAAACTGGGTTCTGAAACATGCACAATCAACTGATTCCATTTCAAAGTCATCCTTAAAATTTCACAAAATGGCTGTTTTATGAGCCTATAATTATCTGAACAATGTTTCAAAACCACTTGAGACAAGGCAAAGGAGTTCCTTAATGTGTGAGAGAGCAGTGCAAACTATCAACTTTACTAACCCTAGAATAATTCTCATCTTGTTTTTATTTTAGCCTTCAATCTAGCTGAGAAGCACTCTCTGCTCCTTGGAAGCTGCCTAGCATTCTTTATAAAGAGATACATTTTACTGGCTAGGCCAGTAAATGGGTTCATGCCTGTAATCCTAGCACTTTAGGAGGCCAAGGCAGGAGGATCAGTTGAGTTCAGGAGTCTGAGAACCGCCTAGCCAACATGCTGAAGCCCCTTCTGCTAAAAATACAAAAATTAGCTGGGCGTGGTGGTGCAAGACTGTTATCCCAGTTACCTGGGAGGCCGAGGCATGAGAATTGCTTGAACCAGGTTGCAGTGAGCCAACATCTCGCCAAAGAGATACATTTTTCTGACCTCATCTTTCCAAACAGAAACAAGGCGTTATGTGCCCTTTTTTTTTTTTTTTTTTTTTTTTTGACAGAGTTTTGCTCTTGTTGCCCAGGCTGGAGGGCAGGGGCACCATAGCTCACTACAACCTGCACTTCCTGGGTTCAAGCAATTCTCCTGCCTCAGCCTCTACACACACAGGTGTGTGCCACCACAGCCGGCTAATTTTGTATTTTTAGTAGAGACAGGGTTTCTCCACGTTGGTCAGGCTGGTCTCGAACTCCCGACCTCAGGTGATCCACCCACTTTGGCCTCCCAAAGTGCTGGGATTACAGGTGTGAGGCACCTTGCCCAACCCATGATGTGCTTTTCTTTAACAACCCTCTCGGTTTGTCCAGACCTGGTTGATTTATTGCTGGAGACTAGAATAAGAAAAATTCTTTTTCTTTTTTTTGGAGATGAAGTTTCGCTCTTGTTGCCCAGGCTGGAGTGCAATGGTGCGATCTTGGCTCACCACAACCTCTGCCTCTCGGGTTCAAGTGATTCTCCTGCCTCAGCCTGCCGAGTAGCTGGGATTACAGGCGTGCACCACCACAGCAGGCTAATTTTTTTATTTTAAGTAGAGACGGGGTTTCATCATCTCTACTGGTCTCGAACTCCTGACCTCAGGTGATTCACCCACCTCAGCCTCCCAAAGTGCTGGATTACAGGTGTGAGCTACCATGCCTAGCCGCAGATGTGAATTTTGAAAGACAAGGAGATGGAATGTAGAGGGAGGTTGGACAGGATGGGAAAATTCAGGTGTTCCTAGTAATGTACCTAATACCCATATTTGGAAGGCGAGATAGAATATGCAGATTGTCAATCTAAAAGAAGACCAGAGAAAAATATCTCCTAATTTAATGAATTTATGCAGGAATAAGCAGAGGATTATAGTCTGAACACACAGCTATAGCAAACCACAGATGCACCAGAAGATGGGAGAAGGGGAAGATTTTATTGGCAAAAAGAGAAATTCAGCCTGGGCAACATGGTGAAACCTTGTCTTTACCAAAAAACAAACAAACAACAAAAAAAAAAACAGCAGGCTGTGATGGTGCACACCTGTAGTCCCAGCTCCCCAGGAAGCTGAGACAGGAGGATCGCTTGATCAAGCCCAGGAGGTCAAGGCTGCAGTAAGCCAGGATCGCAGCACTGCACTCCAGCCTGGGCAACAGAGCGAGATCCTGTCTCAAGAAATGAAAAAAAAAATAGAGAAAAGAAAAGGAAAAAAAAAGAAAGGAGAAATTCACATAAGCTGTTTGCAAACAGAGTTCATTGGTTCCGGAGGTTCAAAGCTGGAGCTGGTGTCAGTTCATTAGCAG